TAACAACACACATTGATTTAAGCAATATTTTATTTAGATAGTTTCATATTAAGAACTAAATTTTCAAAAATTTAAGGATTCATGAACAAGGCCAAAGGTTATTATAATTGATCTCCATATTGTTAATGGAAATACAATTCCAAGAATGTACACTTGTACAAACATACATGAAGGCCTTATATAAATAATGATCATGAATTTTATATTTACTGGTGCAAGGATCATTAATTTTATATTTACTGGTGCAAGGTTGATGAAGGCCTTATATAAATAATGATCATGAATATTATATTTACTGGTCCAAGGATCATTAAGTTTATATTTACTGGTGCAAGGTACTACATTTAATAACTTTAATTATAAAAACACTTAATGCATTGTCGGCCTATGAATTTTATATTTACTGGTGAAAGGATCATTAATTTTATATTTACTGGTGCAAGGTACTATATTTAATAAATTTAATTATAAAAACACTTCATGCATAGTCGGCCTAGGTGTGGACTACTCCGAACATTTGGACAGTGATAACCTTTTAGTAGAGAACAACTCTGCTTTATGAAACAGTTTACGACAATCAATCATTATTTGTTTTGTCAAATTTTTGGGTATCAAAATTGAGAGAGAGAGAAATGGGGTTTAACGTTCACTTGACTCGATGATACAACAAAAAACACAATTACTATTTTAATTAAAGCGACGTTTCGTTGTAAATGATGCTCAATAGTCAACGGGTGCACTCGTCCGCCTGCCAGCCTATCTTTTATAATCCCATTGGTGCAGAAAAGTAGGAAAATTAAATAAAATTAAATGAGATTAAACATCCTACTGTTTTGCTAATGAAGACAGGCATACACTATATACAGTGTACTATGACGGAAACTTTGCACGGATAGCGGCACAATGGCCTACTCTGATATTAAATTACAACTGTCGGAGTGTCTTTTACGTGCATGCCAATATGTACATGAGGACTTGATTTTTCGTATGACCCGAACAACTATACCTTATCCCTTGCCAGATCCTCCGCCCTGCCACAGTCCATAGAAAATTTCCGTCAAAGCACTCTGCATTGCGTATGACTATCTTCAATAGTCCGATTGGTGCAGAAAAGTACGAAAATGAATTTTAAATGGGGTTTGAACATCCTACTATTTTGTTCCAAGTGGGCTAATGAAGAAGGGCATATGCTATAATGGTTAAAATGTTGTGATTTCGGGTTAAAATGCCGTGATGTTGGGTTATCGCCTTACGAAGGGTGATATCAGTCACCATATCTACTGGGTTTCTTTAATACTCATATCTATAGTATTTTATAGAGTCAGACTAGTGGACTAGTGAATGCACGGATTAGTGCACCCATGGACTAGTGAACCCGCAGACTAGTAATTGGTAATGATGGAAAAGTGTGTAAAGACCTCTTTTACAGGTTGGTGTGCACTTAGAACTATTGGTAATGACTATATGGGGAAATGCTGCTCTCCAGGCAAAATGTCTTTCCTAGCACATCTTCATTAGTAAGTGCGGTAATGCTGCTGTCCAGGCAAAATTTCTGTCATAGCACATCTTCATTACTAATTTTGATAAAGCCACGGTGGCTAAGTGCGTAAGATGCTGGCTCGGTAATCCGGAGGGCACGTGTTCGATCCCTGCATTGGTGGAGAAAGTTCATCAGGATTTTCCGACATGGTTTCCCCTTGTCAGAGGTGCAGGAACAAGGAAAGTAGTCTAGTCACTCAGATGGGACAAAAAACCGAGGTACCATGTATACATTGGCTTGCACGAAAAGATCCCTTGGCAGTTAGATTCGATATTAGTAGGCCATAGTGCCGCTGCTGGGGCAAAATTTCCCTCATAGCACATTGTATGGCATGTACCTTTCTTCATTAGCCCAGTCGGAGCAGAACAGTAGGACAATAAACCGATTTCATCAGGACAAACCTACATGAGGAAAAACCTACATTTCACAAACTTAGTAATTAGTAACGGGGGTGGGGTGGTGGATTGCTGAATGGTTAGCGTGCCTGCGCTGTATCATAAAGTCTGTCATTGAGTTGACTGGCGTGGTTTCGAATCCCCGGTTGTACGTGACAAGGAGTAGGGTCGCCTGTCCAACCTCCGGTTTTCTCCCACTGCTAAAGACCCCTACGCGCAAGCGAATTATGTAAATAAAAATTAAACTATATGTTAGTCCCAAAATGACCTAGTTTGTGTCGAGTAGACGTTAAACCCCATTTCTCTCTCTCTCTCTCTCTAGTAATTAGTAACACACTGGCTAGCAAATGAGGGGTTCAATTTCCGTGTTGGTCGAGAAAAATGAAATGAAATCGGGTTTAACGTCCTACTGTTCTGCTCCTAAACTGAGCTAATGAAGACGAACATACGTCATACAGTATGCTATGAAGGAAATTTTACCCAGGCAGCGGCGCTATGGCCTACTCTTATATCAAGTTCCAACTACCAAGGGATCTTTCATGTGCACTCCTGTGTGTACACGTGACCTCAGTTTTTCATCCCTGACTAGACAGCTGTTCTTGTCAGGCCCTCCGTCCTGTATCACTGACAAGGGGAAAACACGCAGGAAAATCTGGATGAACTTTCTCAGCCAATGCAGGGATCGAACACCCGACCTCCAGGCTAGCGAGTCAGCGTCTTACTCACTTAGCCAACGTGATCCCCATGTTGGTCGAGAAAGTTCCCTTTGTTAGTAGTGGTGTAGGACAGAGGACCTCAAAAAAACAGTGTCTAGTTCATCACGTGGGTGTGCACGTAAAAGAACCCTTGACATTTGGAATTTGAAATGAGAGTAGATCATTCATTCATTCGTTTTCTCTTTGTGTGTCACCTACAGTTCGCAACTATTAAAGGAGCTAGATCTCTATTCTTGGGCACTTAGAAATGGATACAAAATGTAATGAAATGAAATGGGGTTTAACGTCCAACCGTTCTGCTCCGAACTGGGCTAATAAAGATGGCCATACACCATACAGTGTGTTATGAGGGAAATTTTGCCCCGACAGTGGCACTACGGCCTACTCTTATATCGAATTCCAACTGTCAAGGGATCTTTTACATGCATGCCAATGTGTACACGGGACCTCGGTTTTTTATCCCATCTGAACAACTAGACAGCTGTCCTTGTCAGGCTCTCCGTCCTGCATCACTGACAAGGGGAAAAAACGCCGGAAATCTGGATGAACTTTCTCGGCCAATGCAGGGATCGAACACCCGACCTCCAGGCTAGCGAGCCAGGGTCTTACCCATTTTTGTCCCATTTTAATGACTAGACAGCTGTCTTGTCAGGCCCTTAATTGTTAGTATCATGACATTAAACTGACATTTGTTTTACGTTTTACAACTAATATCAGGTTTATGTTAGAAAACTAACGTTAGATTTATGTTAGAAAACTAAAGTTAGATTTATTTTATAAAATTAACATTAGATTTACGTTAGAAAACTAACCCTAAATTATGACATAAAACTAACATTACTTTAACGTTAGAAAACTAACATTATTATAACGTCAGAAAACTAACGTTAGATTTACGTCAGAAAACTAACGTTAGATTTACGTCAGAAAACTAACGTTAGATTTACGTCAGAAAACTAACCATAAACTAACGGTTAGAAACCTGATGTAAAATTTACGTTAGATTAACGTTAAAATTATAACCAATAATACATATATAATTATTATGTCTGAATTCCGACTATATATCAATTGTTAGAATGTGCACACACTTGTAATGTTATTTAATCAAGAAGTATTCAAAGGGAAAAAAATTGGTTAGTAATCCGTCATAAAGTTTACGTTACATTTACGTCATTTTCTGACGTAAACGTAACCATAACCATTATGACGTAAAAGTAACGTAAATTTAACCAAAGAATTTTACCATTATTGGACGCTAACCAAAATCTAACCATAATGACGTAAACTTTACGTAAATCTAACCATCAATGTTAACTGGGTTGCTACCACGCACATGGGATCCGCCATTTTTTTTTTCAATCTTGAAAATGACCCTTCATGTGTTTATACGAACGATTCGAATACTCGTTAAATAAAATAGAACCAAGTACGAACAATCCAAACCATAAGACAGAATTCGAAGTCCTAAAAAACGTTATAGGCAAAATAGTGTATTCAAGCAAAATAGTGTACGAACAATCCAAACCATAAGACAGAATTCGAAGTCCTAAAAAAACGTTATAGGCAAAATAGTGTATTCAAGCAAAATAGTGTAATCAGCAAATGGACTGCTCCTCGTGTACAAAATACGTTTCGTTTACTGAAAAATTATATCGATATGTAAAGGTTTCTTTTACACCACCGTACGCCATACTATCTCCGTGCCGCATCCTTTCTGAACTTACCAGTACACGGGTGTGCAACGAAGTAATAAGACATTAAGTTTAAGGTCACACACTAAAAAACGTTATAGGCAAAATAGTGTATCCAAGCAAAATAGTGTAATCAGCAAATGGACTGCTCCTCGTGTACAAAATACGTTTCGTTTACCGAAAAATTATATCGATATGTAAAGGTTTCTTTTACACCACCGTACGCCATACTATCTCCGTGCCGCATCCTTTCTGAACTTACCAGTACACGGGTGTGCAACGAAGTAATAAGACATTAAGTTTAAGGTCACACACTTGAAATGTGGGGGGGGGGGGGGTCCTCAAAAAGTAATTCACAATAACCTTAGTGCCTGTATTTGGGTATCTAAATGTGCTTGAGATGATACCGAACAATAAAAAAATGGATGAAAATCAAAAATAATGACATTTGAATTTGTAACTTTAGAAAATATGAAGCCAATATACCATTCAGCACTGCGCAGCTACAGGGTAAATAACACAACATGGGAAATCACAAAGTCTCACAAAGATGCCTGAATATAAACTACAACCACCAAGACTTCAAATAATTGATTCATATTTACATCTATATTAAAATTCTCAAATATTACAATAACAATATTTAACCACTTACTTTAAAAATACGTAATAAGACAGAAACACACTTTCGTAAACAACATCATCTCACTTTCGTAAACAACATAATCACGACGATCGATATTTACTTGACTACATTGATCGATCCAAGCCGTTCCACGTCTATGGAAGGGGATCGACGCCACATTAAAAGACATGTAAACACGAATAGAAGTTACTATGTCAGCATATGAAAGTGTTGTTTTGATGATTTTTCCATGTTCGATTTTACAAAATAGAAAAGTATTGTCCACTAACGAAAAAACACATGTACAAATGCGCCTTGTAACGTTTGTATTTTCTACATCTGATCTTTCAACTGTTGTAATTTCTACTAGTGCATAATCGACATATGTAACTTCGACATCGGTATTTTCTTCCAATGTAATTTCTCCACATGTCACATCCATCAAGGCGTGGTTCCGATTTTAGCCGAAGCTTGCATCAAAAAAAAAAAACCTCCCTTCAAGTAGTCTCGGTCATCCAGACAATATGGCTCCTCCGCGATAGCTCCCTCGACTAACGGACTTGGATGACCGAGGCTACCCTTCGAGGAAAGTTATTCCTACTACCAGAAAGTTGCATGGGGAGCATCAATAATTTTTAACGGAAGTTAACACTAACATATTGTTTTATGCTAAATTTTAATACAACTTTTAATAGTTTGCTTTCTTTGTTATTTTTATGTGTCTTGAATTCACCATTTCTGGTGTTCATGTCGTTAACATAATTTTGAATGCATAGTTATAGTTTCGAATAAAGAACCGCCCCTGTCGGCCCTGTCGTCTGCTCCACATTGGTGACATCGTTCAATCGTAGCCATGGACAATAATAATCAGGTATATTTATGTTTGAATATCTTCCACAAAAAACTTGTTCTTAGAGCACATAAGCGTACAAATATACTACATAAGTGACACAGGTCTTTCTTCTTTTTTTGGTTGTCAGATGGTAGCACTATCTACACTACAGTTCTACACTCGTTCAGTCGTTGAGTCGTTATAGTTTCACGCGTAGACGCCGTAGATACCACATGGTCAATGAAATGGGGTTTAACGTCCTATTTTGATGTATTTTTTGTATTGGCTAATGAAGACTGGCATATACCATGCAGGGTGCAATGAGGGAAATTTTGTCAGGACATCCATCAATAACTCGCCTAGCCCTAGCTAGACTATGTCTATGAAATGAATCACTAGGCCTACTACTATTAGTACTATCAGTATCTCTAACAATTTCCAACTGTCTGGGATTTTTAGCATGCGCCCTGTCCTGATGCAGCACACTGGACCTCGGTTTTTCGTCCCATCCAAACGACTAGGTGCTATTCTTTGCCAGCCCCTCAGCTCGGGTCTGCACCACTGTGACTGACAAGGAAGGGGAATCCGTCATGAGTTTTTATGACCGGGAATCGAATCAACAACCTGGACCTGGTTAGTAAGCAAGCTCCGTAGTCACTGAGCCACTGCTGCTCCCCATATAATAAACAAGAATGATAAATAAATAGCTCTAACTAAATATCATGAATGATCATCTGATCTGGATGTCCATTATTCATCAAATATGCATAGATTTAGAAAGGGGTAGGGGTGAAGGTTACCTTGATCATGGCCTGATGCCCCCCTGAAATTGCGCCGTTGATTACAGTCTGGCTACGGGCCTGCATATTATATTATAATGAATCAAGGCCAATGCAAGGTAGATAAGCTCTTATGTGATTGAGTGTAGTTTAGCTTTATTATAAGATTATAGTAAACAAACAATATTTTCGAGTTTCTATTAGATGGGGGTTGTTTTGAACATAACATGTATTACATTGGTCTAAAAAAAAGGGTATCAAATTCCTATTAATACTGGATGCATGATAGTCGTTTGTGTCCGATAGTGAGTGGACTACTCTTCATTTCAGAAAAATGCAGAAGATATGATGCGTGAAGCATCAGAAGCTTTAATGAAAGCGGCGAATAGTTTAATCAACATGAATGTTAAACCTCTAACAACATTTACAGCACCAAGTCCAAATGTATCAGAAATCCGAAAATTATTTGGCCCGTATCCTCGGCCTCCAACAGTACAGCTACAGGGTAAACAACGCTTTGTCAACAGGGGATCATTGGTTTCAAAATGGACGCATAAATATGTTTGCCTTTCAAGTCATGTACAGGTAAATCTATGTAACTTTGTAGAATTTTCATTTATTTTGTCTGGTTCCATAAAGAATGATGGATTTGACTAAACACTTTATCTTAGACTTTCTGACTGTTAGTTCTCTCAGATACTTCTTGACAGCTCTAAATTATTTGGACAACACAACTCTTATGCTTGTTCAACTCTGACTTCAGCAACACCTATGTTTGGATGACTCAACTTCTACATTTAGATGCCTCGACTCTGGATGACTTGTAGCTGCCTGATTATTTACCACAGTGTACATGTATTACATGTACCCAGTATTATGGTAAGTCAATCAACTCATCTCTTTGTCACTACATGTCTTCTGTAGTACATATAATGTATTTTATTGTTGTTATTTCAGGATACCATCCCAGATAAGAACGACAAAAGAATACTTCACAATGGAGGACTTGGGGAAAAAATCTTGAATTTTGAAAAAAATAGTTCCCCAGAGTACTTCCGTAAACAACTGTACAATGCCTATCACCAGCTTGAAGAAGGTGGGGGTTTTGATCTTATGAGAAGCAGTGGCCGAAAGTCTTTAGAGTTGATTCCACCAGCAAATAAAGGATATTCCGTGAAATATTTGTTAGAGGATGCTGTGATAGGTCAATCTATAATTTATATAAGACCACTTCAGAAAGATCTAGAACTTCTTGAAAACATTGACACAGAAGAGGTAAGTTTTGATGATAATTTATTGTCCTCTTGGCCATATTATATCATTGTCAACTTAATATTTCTGGAGGAGAAAGATAGTACTGGTATTCCTAAAATGTAATGTGAATGTAATGCATTGATACTGATAACAGTAATAATATAACTCAATAGTAATTCGTTCATCACCAGTTTTATTCAATTTGTGATATTCGAATTAAATTTATGAAATAGTTGAATAATGGACATCACATATATTCCCTGAGTCCTGAGAGAAATTTTTGTTGTTAACGTCTAATATCCAGTTCGATGACGGTACAATTATTACCTGACTTTAAGACACTGAACGCACCACACTGCGCTCATTCTCTTCTCCTGGGAGAATTTACCAACGATATATACCAGTTATTTGGTAGCTGGGTAGACTGGAATAATAGGAATTAAGTCTTATTCGAGAACACATGAAAGGACTTTGCTAGTTTCAGGGCTCGAACCCGCAACCTATAGGTTACAAGGTTACAAATCCAACACTTTGACTGTCTCATCCATCTACCTGCCCTTGATTAACTTCATCAAAGACTCTAATTTATTATCATGTCTTTTTAGTTTTACTAAAATTTTAGAATTTATTCCAATATTCAGAAGAATGATCCAACAAAAATCTACAGGACTACAAAAAAAAACAATTTGGCTTTGAATTTGTTTTGTGCGAATGACCATTTTATCTTTCTATTAAGCCTGCAGATGATTGTTTATTGGAAAAGTGTATTCAGTGTGAACAGTTGATTCCTGTTATTAATATGAGAGTGCATATTTCAGAACATAACAGCAAGGCAAGTATTTGATCTAAATTATATTTATAACAGGTCAACTGTATTCGTTAACACATTAAAACATGAGGCCTCTACAGGCTAGATGGTTTGCTGTGTAAATGAAAAAAGCGACCTATAAAAAGACTTGTAACACTGACACCTGTCAATGTGGGTGAGATATTTGACTTGTCAACCAATGGGATCAAAGAATGTACATACAATCACTGTCACGCATATTTGTAAAGATCAAACTTTTTAATAACACTGTCTTTGGATTTGAAAAGCTATTCCTACTTCTCTATGATTTATACAGAAACTAAGTTATGGTACAGTTAAACTCCACCAATCAAAATAACATCATTAATGGGGAATTCATTGCGCGTAAACCAGTTTGAGTTTGGTTTTAAAGTTTCGAAACTGGTTCAAAACCAGTTCAGTGGTTTGTTTGTTTACAGTGAATGCAAAGTATGTCTGTATGTGTTGATCTTTGTCTTTTAGTTTCCTTGAATCTGCAATCATTTTAAAAAATGATTGTTTTGGTCAAATATTCAGTAATTCTTTGTTTCGGGTGGTACATTCTCAATATCAGACGGGTATGAAAATAAATGAATACGTTCATTTGCGGCATACAGTTTTATAACCTGAAAGGAAAATTTATCGTGAATTCTACAAATAGTGTTGTTAAAAATATTCTGAAATTGGGAAATTTTTACTGATCATTTGCCAGTTGTTAAGAAAAGAAGACTGTCCAAGTCATTACCAGTATGTGCATTCTTATGTGTAAGTTGGAAATAATTATTGAGTAAAGAATTGAATCCTGATTCCATAATTTAAAGGAATATATACACTTGAAAAACTTACTTAGTTTTATGGATTTATCGGATTATATGGATTGTATATATTCCTTTAACATTTACTGCCTTTTTTTAGTATAAACATTTAAATATGGCATTGATTTTTGTGTTTTTTTCAAATTCCTATTCTTCAGAGCTGCTGACAAATTTTAGTTTGTGTTGCTAGATTTTGGATTGATATTGTAGATCATACATATTTATTCATGGTAAAATCTTCCCAACGTCAATTTTTCTTATGATAGGTGGAAATTTTCTGTAATTTTGGTTTGATAAATAGTTTCTCACGTTGACAGTACAGTACAGCACAGCAAACCTCCTTTAATGAAAAGATTTGAAACTTATGGACATAATTATTTTTACTTTTTAATTTATTTAAAGGAAAAAGAGCCAGAATTGTCTATAAATAAAGAGAAGTAAGCAAATTAGTTTGTATTGGAATATTGTTCTTGTTTAAAATTGTTCACATTTATGCATGGTTTTAAAATCCATGGTTCAATCCTGGGCAGGATAAGATCCTCGGGATTTTCCAACCCAGCTCCACTTGTAAGTGGCACAGGCCGAAGGGGCTGGCAAGGAAAAGGTACCTAGTCCTTTAAATATAAAGTTTTTACACCTGATTCATTAGCAATCAAAGAATTTGTTTGTTGGAATGAAAATGTTTATTTTATCTTACTACTAATAGTTAGATTGGAGGATGCTATTTTTAACTGCTTTTACCAAAAGAAAATATGCGTTTTTGTTGATGAGTAGGAATTAGGGAGACACAAGACCATATCAGCCAAAATAAATAATCTGGTTGTACTTTTGAGATCTATGAAATTCACTTTTGTAGAGTAACTTGCCCCGTTTGTAACGAGGATTTCGAAAGGAATGCAATTGAAGACCATGCTGCCTTATGTATTAGCCTTATAGAAGATGAGGAAGAACTTGTCAAAGGGTAAATCATTTTTGTTGTTAAAATGTGGTAATGAGTACAAATTGTTAGTGAAATTTAAAGTCTGTTTATTAAATTTGACAGCATGCACTTCATTATCGAAATTGTTCAATTTTAAGAATATTCTTGTTTTTCATCGTAACTTCGAAATTTATATTTTAGCAGAATTTGTTTATGTCATCTAATATAAGCTACTGCATTCTTAAAGCCACTATGTAACAGATACCTTATATCACTGAATACACGCTAATATGATGATTAATTCGAAAGAGTAATATTTAATAAAGAGATTCTTGCAATTATAATTTCAAAAGTAAATCGATCGCTCAGATTAACTTGGATTTTTTTGCGTTACTGCTAAGTCGATTAAATTGATGGTGTGCGATGACGTCTCCAAAAAGCCCTGATGAGTCCAAAAAGTACAAATTACATATAGATGCGATCATCCAGTCTCGACCGGAAAACTTCGTCTTTTTCCGATATCGAAATGTAAACAACAGTGATAATGTTTGAATGCTCACACATTAGCGTAGAATTGACGGATTTGGACAATTTTTGGAAAATGTCCACTTTAGATTAATTATGTCTTTAATCTCTGACATAGCTGCTTCAAGTCATTTTTCTGATTAAAACTATTTGTAGACTGTGTAATGAAGCTGATGTAGAAAGATTATGCCAGTGTGCCAGTGCTGATAATCACGCTGAAGAATGCCACATGATGAGATGTGTGAATGCAACAGTGATGGAAATGTAAGACTGTTAATTGATATTATTCGAATGAATTGACAATGCACCCAAAAAATTGATTTAAAAAATTCCAATTTAGCAGCATTGAAGATTACATAATTATTCTGTTTAGCTATAGTAAGATGTTGTCAGTTGGAATCTAATCTTGAGTTCATGTCATTCCCAAGCATGACATTTCATGAGAACTATGATTATAGGTCCACACATTAATGTGAGCATATATAGTTGTCGCTCCTGTATGTGCGTCCGTCTATCCACAATTGCTGTGGTAATGGCAATGCAACATGCTATTTTGGTTTATATGAGTATAAGGAAGAAGCCTTTAGAAATTCAGAGTTTTCTGATATTTATTTTTTGAGTTATTGTCCTTGACTTTGGAAACCTTGTGGAAACTGTACAAAGTCAAATTCTTTATGAAGTTTGATGAAACTTGCTATGGTTGTGTATATCCACATAAGGAAGAAGCTAACGAAGTTTTGGGTTTTACAATTTTCACTGACAGAGTTATTGCCCTCCACTTTCGAAATCTTGTGGACACTGTACAACGCACAGTTCATTATGGAATTGAATGAAACTTGTCACTTTTGAATGTTTCATTTACTGATTGCTCTTGTCGACCCCCTCGAATGACGTGGCTGCCATTATGATTGTGGGCATATTACAATGGTTATCGCTATTTTCATTCCAGGTCTGAAGTGACAAATCCTGAATACATTATTGACAAGTACATATCGAAGTTCATGAGAGGAAGACCGCTAGATATAACTGACGAATATGGGGTAGTGGAAGGAAAGACGGTGGATATTTTTGTATCAAGGGATAGAATACTAGAAGATGCCTTTTCGGAATTGAAGGAAGCTGGGGATATGAGCTTCCCAATAGAAGTTACTTTTACTGGAGAAAAAGCACTGGACTTAGGTGGACCCAGGAAGGAGTTTCTAACATCATGTGTACACAATTTAAATGACCAATTCATAAAGGATGGCATATTAATAACAGAAAAGGACATTGGAAAAGACTTGTTTATAAAGTATGAGAAAGAAAATGCATTTCGAACAGCTGGTTTGTTACTTGGTAAGTCTATACATGTACTGGTTTTGAAGCTGCACTAGTCCATTAGTGTTGAAACTCGGATGCGATTTTAACTTCAAAATATCTGTTGGCAATATCCGAATATTTGACAACTTTTAATTACCGAGTTATCCCCCTTGACTTTCTAAATCTTTTGGACACAGGGTACAGTTTCTTATGGAATTGATCATGAGTGTTCTCCGATTCTTATTTACTGAGTTATTGCCCTTGATTTTGAAACCTTGTGGACACTGTACAATGCCAAGTTCTTTACATATTTGGATGAAACTTGCTATGGTTGTGTATATATCAGCATAAGTAAGAAGCCTATCGAAATTTTGAGTTTGTCCGATTTTCATTGACTGAGTTATTGCCCTTGACTTTCAAAATCGTTTGTATATATCAGCTTAAAGAGCTCTTGTAGTAAAATGTTACTCTCTGAAGGTTTTATTTACTGATTGCTCTTGTCGACTCCCCTTCCCCCTGAAATCCTTGAAAAACATCAAAATTTTCGATACAGGAAAGAGTTTGAACTGCAAGCTTGTTTTTAAATGCTGTTTTTCATTTTATATTTCTTTTTAGGCTTGTCACTTCTACAAGGTGGTCTCTTACCTACACTTTTTAAAAATCCAGATGTGTTTTTATCTCCCTCGAATAAGGGAGAAGAACTCTTCAGTGAAGGCTTAGATAAAATAGGACTTCTACAGGTTTGTAAAATACAAGTATTCAACAGTTTATAATCTTAAGGGCTGTGTCAAAATATTCAGCATTTTGTGGAACTTGCTTTGTTTCACCTTGGATCCCCCTTTCTGATGAAACAATAAATGCTGATTGACTATATCAATTCATCTGACTGAAAATCAACATTTTTTCCAAACGAGGCAGGTCCGATCACACAAAATAGAAATCTTTGGAGGCAACTATCTCATGTTAGTGCACAATCTGCCACAGGCGGAGACGGTGAATAATGATGATGTTAACAAATCATAAGTTTGGTTTTAGTGTTATTATTACTCTTATGTTCAACATGTCATCTATACTATAATTTGACAAATGTCTGTCTGTCTGTCGGACACCAGTAAACTCTAAAACAGCTGAACCGATTGACATTAGACATTGATTATAGGGCGAGTTCTGTAATCTTATATATTAATCCAACATGGTCGCCAAAAAACGGCTTCGTAGGACGGGTATCCCCTCAAGTTATTATAATGTTCTGTGTTACAGGAAATGAGAAAATTATGTCTGATATTAATTAACTGTCAAACTAATTTTATTTTCCAGCTTTGCTCTAAGAAGAAAGAGATTCCAAGGGCTATTTGATGTCAACAGTCCCAAAGTGAATATTCTCACGTATTCAAGCTTAATAAAGTTATTTGAAGTTAATTTCTCTGAAGAGGGGTCTAATGGCAGACAGTTTGAAATGGCCGTTTATAGGTTGTTTCTTGATTATGTGAAAGAGGTTGCAGGTATTCAAAGTTTGTTGCAGTTTGTGACTGGATCTACAGAAGTTCCGATTCTCGGGTATAAACTTCCTCCTAAAATTTGCTTTGTTGACACTGAATCAATTATCCCTACAAGTAGCACTTGCTCAGATGTTATAAAAGTAACACACACATCCAGACCATAAATCACGCCAAAATCTTTCGATTCTGAAACAAAAATGGTGATGTTAAATAATTTTAATGCATGCTTGTAATTTATGTAAAAAGAGGGCTTGTAAAAGAATTAGGGGGGAGGACATGTAGTTCTCATGTTATTCTGCTATAGTTATCCACAGCGATAATTCTAAATACATCATTTTGTTTAAATCTCCCTGACAGTTGAAAATCTAAGAAAAGTAGGCGAGTTATTGCCAGCTGTCCAGGCAAAATTTCCTTCATGGCATATGCCCGTCTTCGTTAGCCCAAAAAGGTCTCGAAAAGTAAGACATTGAACCCTATTTCATTTCATTTCGAACCCATGGTACCTTTATTTAATTGAATTCAACTCATGCGCAGGGATCTTTGCTTTTTACGGAAACTTACGAGATTGAGAAGGCACTCTTAATGGCCCTAGATCTCCAAACCACAAACACCCACTCTGCAATCCCGAGGTGATCGACCATCTAGATCTCGACACCCTAGACCACAAGGCCATCCAGCACAGAAAGTATTGCACATTTGATTGCTTTTCCATTAAACATTGAAGCACATGTGAATTGCTCTCTTGAATACACCACTGAGGGTGGGTCTCAAATCCATACCGCCAACCGGCCCAACCGGTATAACACCGATCCCGCGCTCACGGCTCACGCCGTTCGCAATCTTCTTTAAATATAACCAAGACACACGGATATGTTTGCCACAGGGAACCCCTTCGTGTTTGACACATTTCCTTAAATTTAACAACACCGGTTGGGGCGGTAGGGGCCGGTTGGCGGTATGGATTTGAGACCCACCCCACCACTGACAACGGGAAGCCAGATGGTAAATCCTGAGGATCTTTCACGCCTTGGATTGAACCCGAGGCCTCATGGTCAGCAGGCACCGTACTCACTGAGCCACCACGGCTCCCAGAAAAAAAAACCTGAAGATCATACCTTTGATTATGCACACTTTGACCTGTGATATGACTACCACGGCCAGCTCCCCAGTGTCTGACCATAAAATCTGCTACCCCTATATTCTCGCCACCCTTATCCGATCGAACACGTTCTGGCAAACCGTATTCAGCAACAGCTGCTTCAAAACATTCTAGAACAGTTGCAGACATATTATTGTCACTAACATTCAAAAATGTTAGTAGCCTTGAAAACCCATCTATACCACCAGGGATTATAAATCGCCAGCTGAAATGTTAAATTATCAAACCTTGGTAGAAAACTATGAACAGTAACATCTGCAGTTTGGCTTAATGTAGTAACTGAAGATATAGAACATATCTTTTATGATTGTGCATACAAAGTTATTTGGCATGAAATGTGTAAAATTTCAAAGCTATATTTAAATTAAAATATTAAGATAGGGTATCTGATATACTTTTTGGTAAAACAGGTGATGATGATCTAGCTAACACTATTCTTTCTAATTATATACGCCAATAAGGGTCTATCTATAGATATCATGCAAATGAAATCATTCCATCAATATTGTGTGCTGACCAAGATATTTGACTATAAGACAATAATACAGAGATGTAGAAACAAACAAGTGAGAGGTTTAGCTCTAAATGGTCCCTACTTGAATGCTGGTTGGTTGAATAACAAATAGCTGGAAATATATTGGATACACACAGAGGGCTGCATTGAAAACTATGGCGGGCCTGGGCTAAAAGTTGATGAAGGGCCCTTATTTAACATAGCATGTTCTGCATTTAAAACACGCATTTGATTTGAAATTCATGTTCTTCAAAAAATTTCTTGGGGCCCCCCTAGATCCAATTCTTTTAAGTGGCCCCTGGGTAAATGCGGCACTGCCCACACACACTCTTACACCCCCTCTTCAGTATTGTTGTAATGCAGTGATCTTGGGGCTCTATCCTCTTCTACTGTACACTGGAGCAATATATATTACACTTACAGTGGCTTGTATTAAAAGAAAGACAATCAAGTACATAATGGTACAGTACCTTATAAGCTTGTGATAGCCATCTATATGCCACAAGGAATTTGGAGCTTTGACACAGTATCTTCGCCTTCTTACCGGTAACAAGGTTAGTCGTCTGTACAGGACTCCTTCCAAATCAACCCTCCTCGTAGAATTTCTTACTCTTTCCTCTTGAAAAGTGTATCCCTCACTAATTAGATGACCCTGGACACTTCTATAACCAATATTTGGGAAGCGTGATAATATATTTGTCACTAGATTGTCCAGCTGTACATCATCTAAAGTACTGTACTTCTTTGAAAGAGAAATACCATATTCATTTAGTCTTCTGCAAATTGTTCTCTTCAAGACATTATAAAAGTTCGCAATCTCTATCAGTTTAAAGTTGCTGTCAGCAAAATAGCACAACTGCTCTTCCGGAATGAACACTGAAGATGGCCCAACACTTCCAGAAGAAATATAGATTTTTCTCGGTTCACTAAATAACTGGGTCTTACGTACACTAACAGATAGCTCCAGTAAATCGAAAGCTCGACGTAAGTGCGACAAAAATACCTGCATCTCTTCGGCTTCACACTCTACACTGATTTCCGATATAACACCAGCAACAAGCTCCAGTTCATTCCGACATTCATTTAATACAGAAGAAATACATTCGCTAGGTTTGTTCAAACAGTTTGCTAACTTCAAAATCCGACTGTGTAACTCGAAAAACAAAAGGTTATCGGTCATGTTAATTGTTATAAAGATATTCTACAAAAGTCCCTACTTTCTATGCCAGTTATCGCCCTTTCCCGGGAGACTTTATTATTGAGATAGCGATATTTTAAAAGGGGGCGGTACAAGACGTGCATTCGGAACCTCGCCTTGATGGATGTGACATGTGAAGAAATTACATTGGAAGAAAATACCGATGTCGAATTTACCGATGTTGATTATGCACTAGTAGAAATTACAACAGTTGAAAGATCAGATGTAGAAAATACAAACGTTACAAGGCGCATTTGTACATGTGTTTTTTCGTTAGTGGACAATACTTTTCTATTTTGTAAAATCGAACATGGAAAAATCATCAAAACAACACTTTCATATGCTGACATAGTAACTTCTACTCGTGTTTACATGTCTTTTAATGTGGCGTCGATCCCCTTCCATACACGTCGCTTAACAGGGGTGTGTTGGCAGCTGATTTTGCAAGAGTAACAGGTTCCCGTGGAGACGCAAAGCCAAATATGTATATCGTTATAATCGTTATACACGACACCGGGTAGTTTTAGGCCGCGTGGAACCTGCTAACAGTGGAATTGTAGATTATTATTTCATTTATTTTGTCAGGATATATGCTTATCAATAACTTTTTACTATTATACTTTGGGTGCTATCGACAAAAACGCTCTTAATAGTAGGACCGGACTGATATGTATATTGTCACTCATAGTATAACGAGTTACTCGGGCGGTAATTAAGTCTCGCTCACAACCCACTGTACTTGCTGCTACGGGGGGAATTTTAGTAAACCCGTGCGTGAGACGTACGCGTCACGTGTGTGTGTTTAAAGATCGCAGACTGGACGTAGATAATTTTGGCCCTGCACATATTAAATTTTTACTCGGTTTCTTGCGGTAGGCCTGCGAGCTACCAAACCTTAAGAGCCGTGCGTGTTAAAACATGTACTGCGCGTTTGTGAGCTAGACTTATATCTGTTAACCTTTTGACCTTAGGTCGACTTGTTTTGCACATCTCGCTCTTCTGGCAGACACGCTTTGACCAACACCTGTTCCATTATTAAATATTAATCTTATATGAATTATTAATGGATTTGCACATATGGGGAAGCATAACATGGTGTCAGAATAATAGAAAAGAACGAACTTATCGCCACACACGATTTAGTTACAGATGTGCAAATTTTTATTGTTTACGGCACTATATGCAATGGCAGATACTTGCTATAGTTTTTGGGCAAGAACGCTCATAGGCGTACGGGCTCGATGTGAGTTAGGGTTGTGGGGGGCAGAGCCTGAAATGCGCGAAAAAAATTTCGCGGAGCTTACCCCCTCCCCCAAAAGAAAATTTGACGGCTGCAAACGCGTTTTCCTGACGCGAATCGTGATAGTGGGAACCTAGCGTTAAGACGGTTGTATAAATAACATCTTCTATGAGACAAATATTATACTAATCGAGGGTTGATATGTGAAATAACCCACGACAATCTGTTTCACAGAGATTTTTTAATATCTCTGTTACAGATGACTGTTTCGACACGTGACGTCACATCACGCGGCGTCCATCATTGGCTCAATAGCGCGTGCATTGTTTTCATAAGGCGTCACGGATTCGGGCTAAATGGTGAATTTTACTTATTTTAATACCCATTTACACTAAATAGGAAATGATTTTTACCTACAAACAATTCAAACGACTTTATTTATTTTTCTAATAAATGAAAAAAATGTTTCAGAATTTAATTTGTCGAAAGAAAAAAGTTAATATTTTGTAGTCATTAAGTCGCATCGATGTCATCCTGATCAGTGATTGTAGCGGCCAAGCGAATATTCACTGCGGATCAGTGTGAACCCACGACCGGACCGAAAGTATTAGGGTAATATTTGCCTTACACACCGACATCAATGTTAAATCTATCCCAATTGATTTGACCTATATACAATGGTTTAGCCCATATCGGCCCTGCGACTTATATGACAAAATTAAGAAAATAAGTAGAAAGTTGCACGTGCATTATATTTTAGTAACCACGTCTTCACAAACGGGCATTCACTTTGTGCAATGTTGTCAAGCGATTCGGATCTCGAACTGATCCAAAAGGTCGCCCTCTGATGACGCCACAGCAGGTTGATACGTTTCATAACATGCATGGGACACCAAAGGAAATAACAACCCATTGCCAAGGTGTGTAATTCTTTGTAACACGCCGATGGGTTAGCACATGGGCGCTGTATCATGAGGTCTGTCATTGAGTCAACTGGCGTGGTTTCGATTGCCCGGTTGTGCGTGACAAGGAGTGGGGTCGCCTGTCCAACCTGGTGGGTTTTCTCCGGGTCCTCCGGCTTTCTCATATTGCTTAAGAATCCTTCGCGCAATCGAATTATTGAAATAAAATTGAGCCGTGTGTTATTCCCAAAATGACCTAGTATGTGTCGAGTGGACGTTAAACCCCATTTCTTTCTCTCGCTCTCTCTCTCTCTCTCTCTCTCTCTCTTGTAACACCTCGCTGGTTTGCACCAATAAAATCAATTGTCAGACCTTTTATGCTCCTTAACGCCGTCACATGTGTAAAAATAAAATAGATATTTGAGTAACATTCTTGTTGAATTTTTCATAACCAGTAGCCTTTTATGAAGGGTGTTTCACGTTTCACCGGTGTCCTCTTACCAAGTTAATCTAGAAATATTAGATAATTTTATACATAAAATGGTCCCGTGATGCATAGGCGTAGGAGATCGACGAATGTTTGAAAATGTAACCGCTTTCATCATAATGTATATGGCTGACATATCCCGATAGAAACTGGCCTTAAGCCAATCAGGTGGTTATTTTTTACCATTTGAGATGGGGCAAAAATCCTAAACCAGTGCGAAAATCGCGTCATTAACGTCCTCTCCACTTATCCGATGCCACGTAAACCTGTACTGATTTCATGTTCACTTCGTTTACAAATTTCCTTTTTTTATAAAATCAACGATTTTTAGTCAATTTTACCAATTCAGTTTGTATTCTAACAATTGGACAGTATCTTACTCAGCTACTAAATGTTTATAAATCCCTTCTGACAAACTTTTTACTGTTATTTACTTTGTTCAGCTTATTTCTACAGTTTGGTAGTTAGGAATGATATTTTTTCCTTGACTAAAGCGAGTTTGTCGTTTACTATTATTTAATAAATTGACAGGAGCCCGTAGTTAAGCACCCGAGTTTACCGCGAAGAACAATGACCGAAAGAGCGCATTTCACCTGGTTATGATTATGTTTTTGATCAATAATCTACTCATTTGTTAAAGGGACTATCCTGATTGGAACAGAGTCTCAAAAATTGAAGTCCGAGTACGTATGTAATTTAAGCACCGAAATATATAGGAATGGTGTATTGGCCTTATCTCAAAATTTCAACTCGAAATATTGAGTCATTTGGACGTGAACGTCAAAACTGCTTATCCGGACACGTAACCCTTTTAAGATTTCGGGTCAATTTTTTCGTTGGGTGACCTGATAATCGATTCCCGTTTCTTGAGAGGTCTATACAGTGAATGACCCGTGTGCTGTACTTGATAACGGATGGTAAATTTCACCTACACATTATTTTTATTTAAAAAAAGGTCTGGTTTTATCCAGACACCTTATAATACAGTTTGACACACAGGTCTCCATTTCCAGATGAAGTTGGTTGCAAACGTATCATAAATATTGAATTACTTGCTCGGCCCGTAGGTAGAGGGTTTTAAGGCATTTTAACACAAAATTAAGCAGTTTTATTCTCCCAAAAATTATCGGGATTTGCCCTTTAATAAATAAGATATATAAAGTAACATTTGTACGTCATGTATAAATAGCCAATTTACTATATGTAAGTAAGAAGTAACATTCATTGATATACGCATATTAGCATACGAGTTAGAATTGTGTAGTAGTGCATTCTCCTCCATACACATTCTTCACGATGAACAAAATTAATATAAAGAATAACAAAGGTCAATACCATTCATAATATATATGGAGTGAATATCGACGTCTAATTATCTACACTTGACTGGCTACTACATGTATTTAATTATTAATATCATGAAATGAATGGTTAGCCATTATTCTCTTTATTGCAGAAACAGAGTGAACTATACACAATACACAATACACAGAAAAGCCTTCTATTGAATGCATTTACGATTATATTATCGAGCGATCAAAACCATTCATAATATACTCTTCAAAAAAGTAGGGGAAATGCACTGCTGTTTTTATTAGAGGTAACCAGTGTATGTTAATAACAGGCCAATTGCCTACACATGAACATGGGCGGCTTATCTGATGGCCCCATTTCACTCGTAAAGAGATACACCGTCAAAAGTGAAAATGGACGTTCTTGAATTTAGTTTTAATAATGAGTAATTGCTCCACCAATCATCAGACATTCAGCAATTCGTCGTGGCATGCTCCTAATCAACCGTCCAATCACGATTTGGGACAATATGACCCACTTCTCTTGCAATGCCACGGTCAATTCTTGCAGTGTTGTCGGTTGACGTCGACGTCGACGAACACGTCTCCCGATCAAATTAAACGTAACACACTAAAGCAAAAATACGCTAAAAAGTAAATCGTATGTAAGGACCGATCGGAAAGCAAACATGGATAGATAAACCAGCACGCGGCAGTTTTCATCAACCCTTCCTTGAAATGTCAAATTTAACAATGAACCCTCCCACGTGTATGGCGCTATTGCGTGTCGCACGTGCAGCTTAGTGGTTCTGTTGGGGCGATAAGTTCTTCATCTGTGAACATACTTTCAAAGCATGTTAAGTGTCCATGACTATTTATCATATCACAACCTGCATAGGTATTTGCATTTTAATATCCCCTACTTTTTGGAAGAGTATTTGTCGGTATCAGACAAAACCTAATTTCTGAAAATAGACTACTTTCGAAGGCCCGGCCCGATTAGCCATACTACTCACGTGGTTTCACTAGAGTCGCGGTCATCGAACGATTTGTCTTACTGTATATTATGCTTGCTCGATTCTCCTTTAAAGTATGGTAACTTATTCTTGTATGCAAGGTTGATGTCCCCTCATGTCGACATAATATTCTGGTTCGATGGATTTCGAGAAATGTTTTTGGAGAAATGTTATTGAAGAAATGTTTTGGAGAAATGTTTTGCAATATTTGTATTTAGAAATTAGTTGATCCAGATTTGTTTTTCGTTGTATTTTTCTGATGAAATGTAAATGTAGGCTAATTTTTGATTTTCTAAAATAAATTTTATCTTTATATTGAAATATAATTAAAATACATTTTACCAATCTGATATGACAAATGTCTGATTTGTAAAACAAATATTGATTTTAATATACAAATGTTAATTTTAGTATACAAATGTCGAAATACGACAACAAATGAAGAAATAAGAATTAAGGACTATGAATTAAGAAATAAAGACTAAGAACATTGAATAAAGAGCTGTTTGGTCTGCCATACCACCATACCTGGGCAGATTCCCCACATCATCATACCTGGGTACATACCAGCATCATACATTACTAGTCCATGGGTTGGTGGGGTAGGGGTTGGATGGCCGAATGGTTGGTGGTTGGTATGAATTCTTATCACTGGAATGGGAAAACAATTTGGTAACACCCACCAAGTCAGTAATGGGCGCGATTCGGGTCGGTATGATCACTTGGCTTGTTGTTACCATATCGTGGTGAGCGCTATAATTTGACGACGGTGGCCATTTAGTCTGTACACGATCTTTCACTTTGATTGTATACATCGAGTATAAGGTGCTAAAAACCACTAAACCAGTACCTGCACACCATATGAAATGAAACTATCCCCTGGTTAGTGAGCCAACGCCATACCCACTGAGCCACAGTGGAAATAGATTTGAACAAATCAGTGACGGCAACAAAAACTCAAATATCTCTTTGAGGATCTGCGAATCAAAGGTCAATCGAATGTTATTTTTGGAGGCGTAATGTTGCCATCTTCAACCAAAATCTAAATAAAACCCTTAAGCTCGGTTCATACTACATCCGTATCCATAATCGTATCCGCATCCGTATCCGCACCCGCACCCGTATCCGCGTTTTGCCGTTCAAATAGAAAACTCGAAAACGTCCGGCTTTCAAGGCTAAATTGTCTGTCAGAGATTGAGTTTTTATTTGGGGAGATGATGTAATAAGGGGAAAGTACTCGCTGATTGGCTAAAGCTCGGCTCACTAGCCGAAATGCCGGACGCACTTTACAAAAATACGCTCTGGGAGCAATCAATCCGGCTTAACGGACGCAGTTGTTTTTGTGCGCAGTACGTGCCGGATTCTATTTGAACCCTTTCTCTAAAAATGACTAAAGTATACCATTACGTATTCACGCACGTATTTACAGATACGGATACAGATGTAGTGTGAACGGACCTTTACTAATATACTTCTTATCGAATTATTATTCATTTACAAACAGACATTTTATTTCATTAGAAAACCATTGTCTTTAATGATATTGGCGTAGAATTTGGACGATGCCTTCGGGGTTCTTGTTCTGTTAGGATCCGTGAAATTAACCTGATGTAAACCAAATTTAACACTAAAACCACTAATCCATTCAAAGTTGTCGATTAATGACCAGCATAAATATCCCTTTAAATTACAGTTATCCAATTTAATAGCTGAAATCAAGAATTATACATTTAAGAGGTTTATTCACATTATATTATGCTAATCGTAATGATACTGTTTAAGGTGATCCAATTAGATTTTTTTTTGCCACTTCTTTTATAATGGTAAGTGTGTGTGTGTGGGGTAGGGGGTGATTGTGAGGGGGTGGGTTGAGAGAAGGGGGGGGGGGCTATCTGGGACCGATGCGATCGCACCTCTGTATCTTATTATGATCTAGTTTCGTCGCCCAAATTAATATCACGACGTTTAGGAAATAATTTCCACACATAGTTTCGAGGACAAGTTACTCAAAACACAATTGCTGGATAATAGGGCTTATTTTAGAACTAGTTCAACAAAATATATTCAAACTGCTAGCAAGATGTTTGAAATATACATCTTATAATCCCGTATGTAGAGTGTTTTCAAGATTTCGATGACAGGAGCAATAACTAATTGAATATATGAGCCACGGTATATGTTTTGACACTGGTCGAGCAATATGAAACCACTTGGGGTTTTTTATTTGAGAGACGGTGCAAAATCTCAAGGGCGTGTACCCATGGCGGAAAGTGCGCCATTGACTTCCTATTTTTAGAGCGATGGCATGGTCCGAATTCGATATGTAGCTGTATAAGTTTAGCAAATTTGAAGAAAAGTGTTTTATAGCGTTTCGTGGAGTTATTTTTCGTTCACATTTTTTCTCTTTGTTTTTAAAACAATTAATCTGTAGGATTTGTTGATAAATTTAGATTTAGTACGGAATATTTCGTGCTAGTTGGCCTGACAGATCCCCGCCTATGTTATGATATCGTATGCTCTTCCATAACGAGTACACCTCTAATTTTGACGTACAATTAACGCAAAGGAAGAGAAATGACCTTTGGTGGTACGTTATGGAAAATACCTTTCAGTGCTTCATTTATGTAATGCTTCAGGTAGTTTATTCTTTCGGTGTCTACAAGGGTTCCTGTTTTGTCCTGTGCACCGTTTTCTGTAATATACACTGTCGGGTCGTTATATTGTCTCTTAATCCAATTTAACATTTTTCTCAGACCACTTGGTGAGGATTGTCTGAAACACGTTTAAGAGCATGTTCAACTAGTCTGTTATACTTGGTTATTAAGTTTGTATTCAGACATATTCAGGTCAACATAGTGAAAAAGGCAACATGGACTGAAAATAATGTTTCCTTGCTAGAAAATGGCCGTTATCAATTTAGAATCTTAAACCTACATGCATTAATTAATAGGACTAAAGACTAACCCTTAATCATTAGGTAAAAATAAATTATTGAATTGATTTGATAGTGTTACCGTGATTATTGATAGGGGGTGGGGGGCGCTATACAATTGCCTATTTGTTTCGAAAGATTAAACAGGGGCTTGCTTTTTTATGTGTATACATACATACTGTATCGACAGTAGAACACGAAATAAGTTACATCGCCACACAATTGCTCGATGATCTATTAACAAATCAGCACGTATAATCATTTTAAGCTTTGCATATCACTACAGACAAGTAATGCAAATATATTATGGGCATCAATTGCCAAAGACTTCATATGAGCAGATCCATTACTTGTGAGGAGAGAATAATGGAACACAGAATTCTAGGAACTGCATGTATTTTCCGTTTAATTAGAAACAATTGAAAATCCAAAATGTATTTACCCGTTCCAAGATGTGTCTCCTTCTTTAAAGGTATCACTGTCACAATCATAAGTTGGTGGGTTACAATGGTTAACCCGTGAGGTTATCTTCGTCGACGCGTAAAAATTAAGTCCTAGAAAGTCGGCGGTTCCTAGGAAAAAGTGTTACAGGCATTATCACATTCAACAAGAAAAGGAACGTAATTTATTACTACCATAAACCGATATACACCCAATTGTTGTAAATCCAAGCACTGGACTTCTTAATTTGCATTATTTAAGATTTAACTAACGAAAATGAATATATTGAAAATTGCCGTCAGATCACTTTATTCTGAGCAAATGTTTGAAGTTCTGACAAGAAATAGTAATGATTGCCACTGTAAGTATCGATAACTTAGCCATCCGATGGCTTAGAACGTTAATTATGGGCTGTGAATAAATGTGAAGAATTAAGCAGTTTATAATGTGTATGATAAGTAATGAAATATATATATCGTCGATGACTGGGTTCCAATGTCACACTTTAGCCCTGCAGGCATCGCATGTGTACCAAGATGTACAACACATATGATGGAAGACTGTTTACATTGACAACGACTGTTTGTTGTTTACATCATTGTACCCAATCGGAACCAATGTGAATTAACGTTTTAAGTGGAGTTGTCGCCAATTTTACATATATGAGCTGTAACTATTAGCTAAGCAAGGTAAATCCCACATGCGTAAAATGGACTGTAAAAGTATACTACCTTTGTTTATCCGTATTTCTGGAGGAGTAAATGTTGGTAATCTAGAAGGACTGCCTGGAGTTAATTCCTCTGTTTTGTTATAGACTAAGGCTTTCATAATATCCGGATAATCTCCATTCACAAATATAGGATGGGCAAACCATCCAAAAAGAAATTGCAAGCCACGATCCTGGGCATCAAGATCGGATTGACTATTTATATTGAGAGGTTCAAACCAATTGACGTTGAGTGTAATCCCGACTTCTCCTGGATAGTAATATTTAACATATAACAATCATCACCGAAAGAAACTATATAAGTAGGAAAGACTTGCACAAGAACAAAATAAACGTTTCTATACTAATTCAGTGCGTGAAAAGTGCCGGAATGCCATTACAAAATAGTAAAAATTTAGTTTCATGATCTTTTTAATAAGGAAAATCTGTTTTAAAAGGCATTGTTTGAGAATAATAAATGTGTCATCCTTCAATGGCCCAAACCTTAGTTAAATGAACTTGTACCTTAAAACGAGAAATTCAAATTTTCTAAGAAAGTCAAAACATAATTATTTCTATGTCTTTTGCTCAATAGGTTATCAAATCACTATTATACGATCAGGTTCATTATTTCTCACCCTTAAAAATCTATGACACAGGAAATAACAACACAATTACCTCCCCTGTTTTGCTATTGACAACATGGGGCAGCCATTTTCCAACGTTGGAATTTGAAGTTGAAAATGATATTTTTGCCAATTTCGAAGCTGGCAATAGCGAATTATAGGATTAATAGGATTAATCTTTAACAAGGCAGGACTGTTTATGTATACCATCTATTTTAAGGCTTTATTTTAATACATTTTAAAAATATAACTTGAAAATTTGCAATTGCAACTTTAAGCATTTAACGCTATCACATACGACTTTAACCATTACTTTCAGCCAAATTCAACTGATTCCGTTTCTGACTATTTATTCTATGGATACAAATGAATTCCATATTCTGGCAGTTTTAGGAGAATGAATAAAATCCTCTAAAATGCGTTTCCAACCATTGTAAACAATGAAAATAGACGTACCTTGTTGGACAGATTTAAATTCGTTTGTGTACACATGGTAAGCTGCAGCGTGAGCCTTAATCATATTGTGGCCAACTATATAAGTATTGGTACCCGGTCCCCATACACCTGGAGCTCCAATTGCTAAACCATATCCCAAAGATGCTGTACCCCAAGGCTCGTTTAACGTGATCCAATATTTAACCTTTAACATAATTATTGGAAATATTAACACTTGCGTCCAAACGAATAACCAACGGAACCAGGTGTGCGGGTTGAACGCCACAGCGAATAAAACATGATAAATTAAATGTTGACTCATGAAAGAAAATATTTCAACATTTTCTTACTCTGTTGGTTGGTTAGTCGAGATCTATCCGTGGGTTATTCGTTTGGACGCACGTGTCGAAATTTTTCGACTGCCCCTTAATAAAGTGTAACTTTGTTATGCAGAGTTCGTGTGCTTCACAGTATCACTATGAAGTTACAATTATAAAACACTAGAAGGATGCCCGGCTTCGTTCGGGGGTCATAACCCCGAAACCGGAAGTGGTAGACTAACGCCACCTGGCCTATGTTACCCCCCGGTCCGAGCTACCCCTATACCCCAAATTTCAGACTCGGGGCAGACCTATTGTAGCCGCCAACCCCGAACAGACAGACAAACAGACAGACAAACTTCACAAATATTAGTATAGATTAACAGCTTACATCGTCTCCAAATTCTCGGAAGCATATACGAGCGTATTCTGCAAATAGATCGACAATGTCTCCATTCAGCCATCCACCGTAACGTTGTAACTGTTCTGGTAAATCATTATGATATAAAGTTACCATGGGAGTTATGTTATATTTTTTTAATTCATTAATCAAGTTTTTATAGTAGTTGATTCCTTTAGGATTGGTTGTATTTGATCCAGATGGCATAATCCTAGACCACGATATGGAAAATCTATACGAATTTGCCTGTAAGAGAAGATACATGTTATTAATTTCGGAGAGAGAGAGAGAAAGAAATGGGGTTTAACGTCCACTGGACACAAACTAGGTTATTTCGGGACTAACATATGGTTTAACTTTATTTCAATAATTCGCTTCCGCGTAGGGGTCTTTAGCAGTGGGAGGAAACGGGAGGACCCGGAGAAAACCCACGAGATTGGACAGGCGACCCCACTCCTTGTCACGTACAACCGGGGATTCGAAACCACGCCAGTCGACTCAATGACAGACTTTATGATACAGCGCGCGCACGCTAACCATTCAGCCACCCCCCCCCTATTAATTTCGGTGTTATTCTTATAATCATTACAGCTTTTTATTTCATTCGTACACTGCTGTAATAAGCCGTCGGATTAGTGGCTGTAGTTTTATGAACAATCCATTGTGTCATAACAACGGTCTCTATCGAAATTCAGACTCGCGGAGATATTACACCCCTTCATAATTCATCGCATTCAAATGGTTGCAGTTCTTAACCTAGGAGGAATGTTCGTTATAAATATGAACCCAATTTATTTCAAACATTTTCGGACCTTAAATTTCGATTGCGCCTTACCAGGTTATCTTTTCAATCATGTTTTGTGGAAAGGAATTTTAAAAATTGGTAGTCTTGTTCATTTGGTTCTTGCAAGCTCCCGATCTATGTGGCCACTTTCCACTTAATCACGCACAGTGACGTATATAATTTCCGATTGGCAGTCAAACTTTTCCCTCTTAATATATATTTCGGTTGTGACATTTAAAAGATGAGAAACACATTACAAAACACATTTTGAAGTCATTTAAAGCGGTTTTTCCTACTTCGTTATGCGTGGTATCGTCCGCCTGCGACTATTATTCATTTTCCATTTTTTCGCTGGTTAGAAGGGTACAAATGAATGCCATCGTAAGAATATATGTATGGAAATTGTTTTCTATAATATGGAACTAGGATGGTAATTGATCTACCCCAATATTATGAAGTAACTTGACATCCTCTTTATATTTGTGGTAACTATCACATGCAACATTTCCAGTTGAATTATCTTGTATATTTCCTGGCTGTTGTACATATACATCCCAAATGTTAAGCCCTTTACCTGTAAACGAATATAAGGTGTAGAAACCAAATTTCTTTCTTATTGGGATTAAAGGGGAGACAACTTATGGAAGTGAAATGATTGCGATTTACATTTCTAAGTGAACAATAGGACTGATGTCCCGTATCCTTATTCTAACCAAATGTAGCTACTCAATATTTAAACACAACGATATGACAATCATTCCTAATTACCACCCAAAACATAACTTTAATAAACAGCGAAAGCCTTTAAGACTTAAACAGTATATCAGAATGCGGAGAATTTACAAAAATATGAAATAATTCCTGTTATCTTAAAACAGTCAACAAAATGCACTGTGCATCTTTAGTATATGGCAAAGAAATTTTACCCGATCCATCCGTACATTTAAGATGTCTTCATGGCGTCATTTAATAAAATTAATATAGTTAACAGATGCCCGGATAGGTATGAACAAACCACAAGATGGTCCGTTTTAAATAATAAGAAGGATAGTTATCGTACCATCTATGTTGTATCCACCCTCTATTTGGTAGGCCGCCGTTGCAGCACCCCACTTGAATCCAGGTGGAAATTTCCCATACAGAAAACTGTCACTCTCATTATTTACAGCTAAACATAAATAGATTATTTCAACAGATACCATGACAAATAACAAAACGTTTATGTCTATAACTTTTAGATATCCAAGCATTTTCTGTCCTGTTAACAAATCGGTATTGGTGTCTCTTTTAGCTTATTCACTACCATCATTTTGTTGATAAAGAATTTGATCACCTACGTGAACAAGCATGTGGCCTAAAATATATGACCTCGACATGGAGATAACCGGTTCTATAAATGTATTGTTAACCGATAATTTCATCTTTTTAGATTAGTATGCAGTTGTTATACTAACAACTAACCTGTTGGCCTACGGAGTGCTAACCCTTGTCATCGTTCCAAACAATTTCTGTATATTTTGGACTCCCTATCCCGATTCAGCATATATACGCCGTCTCGCTATCACGTCACTGCTCTTCTGAATTGTGTATTTATTTAGATTTTATTGCCAGACATTAATTAGAGCATGCAGGTTATGCAGTCTACCTTGCCCTTGGATCAAACTATAGGTGCATTTGTGATAAATCTGCTTGCCAGGTAACTGATAGTACCTACTTTGGTTAACACTTCTATGACTGTCTACACAGTCTTAACAATTTATCACTCACGGATCCAGCCACCCATCAGTCAATTCTTAGAATTGGTAGATGAGTTTCTTTGAAAAGATATATACTATTGCGATATTGGGTTAATGCAAGCCTCAGACCTCCAGTTAAGAAACAGATTACCACAATGTTAAAGACTTTAAAATTCTTCACTGATAGACCCCTAAATTCGAAACAGGAAGTGTTTATGTCCTAATTAAATTACATTTTCTTTGAGTATCGAAAGCTAATGTTTGTTATACAGTGGCAGAACTGCATTGCTAGATTACTAGATGGTACGATAACTATCCTTATTATTATTTAAAACGGACCATCTTGTGGTATGTTCATACCTATCCGGGCATCTGTTAACTATATTAATTTTATTAAATGACGCCATGAAGACATCTTAAATGTATGGATGGATTGGGTAAAACTTCTTCGCCACATACTAAAGATGCACAGTGCATATTGTTGACTGTTTTAAGAACTAAATGAATTTCGTCTAAAGTACTAATAAAATATAATGGTTTAACAATAAAATGCCCATTAAATGAATGGTGGTGTAAATGTTTTTTCTCTGTGCGATTTTCTATCAGAATTAAAGTTGTTCTACTTATAGTCTCAGTGATAAGATTTGACATGACTTATTATCGAAAGCGTCAACTTTCAAGGCTGTGTTAGTCACAACAGTTAGTGTATGAAGTTAAGCCGAAGCAGGCTCATTATTCTGTTGTCTTTAAAATGATTTTCTCGGATTTAGCCTTGGCTTTGGTTACATTTGCTGTTCTCCATGATGTATCTTATGTATTGGCGGCCACTGTACATTTATATGTAAGCCCAACTGGCTCCGACTCCAATTCGGGGTAGGTCGTGTTTTATTTATATCCGTATATTTTTGGAATCCCTTAAAAGCTTGATATTTTGGGGTAACATGAAAGCAATTATTAAATTAATAATGCTATTGACGGGGCGAGATAGCCAGAGTTTTACAAGTACAGATTTGACCATAAACACGGGTGTAGGGAGCGTAGCCTACTAAACTTAGACTGTCTGTCTACAGTTAGCTCCTCTTGAGAACAGCCACTAAGCTAGTTGACTGACATTTTAAGTCCTAAATCGCCGATTTTAGTCGAAAACACTAAGTATACTTCGAAACTTTTATTGAGTATTCATTCTGCTTCCATTTAATAAAATTGAAAAGGGTTTTAGGCCTTTGTGTGTATGACAGATGTGAATCGAGTAGAAAAGCATTACAAAACAGTATACTAATTTAATTGGATATGGTGGCCATTTAGAGCAGAAATCTATTCTCGAAGAATGGAGAAGATGGATCTCTGTGTGTAGAATGGGATTGTAGTAGTAACAAAAGTTCGCAACCAATTATAACTATATCTATAACTCGAACTCGAAGGAACTACACCAAAAGAACTACTTTTCGTAATACATGTGTTCTGGTGGTGCGTCCTGCACTGGGCGTCTTCTAATTACTGTTTAATACGCGGTAAAGGTTGCCCGGACGTGCCGCGAAACAAATTATAGATCTATCTATTTATATTTCGTGTGAATGCTAAAATAACTACTTTCCCTAAATCGCGTGTTTTGATCGTGGGTTCTTCACTGGACGACCTCTAACTGAAACCAATTATAGCTCCATCTATTTCTGTTTCACGTGAAAGCCAAAAGAACAGCTTTGCATAAATCGCGTCTTCTGGTGTCGAGTTCGTTCTTCACTGGACGACTTCTAAGTGATGTTTAATAAATTGTAAAGGTAACAGTTGCCCAGATATGCCTTGAACTCGGTAGTGGGAAATAGATATTTGAAATGAAACTTAGTTCTTCACTGGACGATTTATAATTGAAACCAATTATAGCTCTATCTATTACTTTGCATAAATCGCGTCGTCTGGTGGTGAGTTCTTCATGGGACGGCTTCTAAAGGTAACGGTTTCCCGGACTTGCCTTGAACTCGGTAGTGGGAAATAGATATTTGAAATGAAACTTAGCCGAACAACAAAAATGGCGTTCTTGCACAGGATTTGATTCCGACAGGTGTAAGATCAGATTAAAGTAAACACGTTTACTATTTGTAGATTAGACGTGTCACACCCACTTAGAACCATATTAAAGGCAACGGACAAACTTGATGCTCAAGGTATAAAGGGAAATGGTAAGTATGTTAAATAAATTCGATTTAAAGACAACGGTATTTACTGTTTACAATATTCGGTATGTATCACAACGGTCAAAAACTATGCATACCACCCAATGTCCCGGTCATGGTGTCATACGCTGCCATATGCACACATATGTATTCATACACGCATTATAACCATAAAGCGGTTTTAACTGTTTATTTTTAAAGACTTCCACTGAGTAAAATATATCCTGTTCATGGCTAAAATATATGGCGGGAATCGCCATTTTGAAAGATCGTGTAATTAGCTATGAAATTGACGCATAAAATTTAACCTCATTGGATTCGAATTAAGGTTGCAGGAACGTAGACATTTTAACACCAATACATCAGCCAGATTCATCATTTTATTTTATAATAAAGAATTAGATATCGATATTCAACAAACGTTATCCTAAAATATAATGTCGCATAGATAACATTATACCATACGATCTTTAAAATTCCAAATGGCCGCGGATGCAGAAGTGTGGGTAAGGTAAATTAAACAATATACTTTGCTATATATTTTACAGAGGTATTTGTGGAGTTAAGGAAAGGATATCACGACCTAGCTGCCACTTTGGCATTAACTCATAATTATCCAGCACCAATTACATTTAGAGCTTACAAAAATGAAGAGGTTCACGTGGTGAGTCATTATTTTCATCGCTATACTTAGCACAAAGACATATAACTTCCATGAGAGAGAGAAGGTGGATGGGGATTATTTCCATAGCATTATTTAAATAGCATGACTCTTATGAATATGGTGGGATGGACTAGTAACATCTTAAGAACGCTCGACCACTCCTTGTCACGTACTAGCTTAGAATCGTAATGCCTTATACCATTCGGCCACATAATCCACATTTAAGAGTCTAGTGTTACGTTTAACTTCTTATACTTACTTAATTACCTGTATCTTCTTTACCACAATTCTGTTTACAGACGGGTGGAAAGAGAATCAACTCCAATCTGTTCAAGCCAGTTACAGATTCGACAGTTTTAAAACGTATTCCATCAGAAGCCCACAGCAAGGTATTGATATTTAACTTAGTAAATATATTGACTTCCGTTTAATCTTCCCAAACAAACGTTTTATCGTGTAGATCATGATTCATCATTATCGAAATAACACATCAGATAAACCCAATTCGATACTTTTTTGGCAATAATCAATAACTCGCGTAAGGTGTCTGGGCCCTGTTTCACGAAATTTTAACTAAAGATAAAATCCAAATTTTAGTAGATACTTCAATTTTGATTGGCTAACCACTAAAATTAATCTAGTATTATCCAATCAAATTACTAAAATTTGGATTTTATCTTAGTTAAAATTTCGTGAAACAGGCCCCTGGTTAGAAACTACTATCCATCCGAAATATTGTGCTACAGCATATACGTGCACATATTGTTACAAATCGCACGTTATAAAAACACTGATGTGACAAAGACCAGAAATCGAAAGGTCAAAGTCGCAGAATATCCCAATTATTGGCACGGTTTACACAGCTGCTGTTTTAATTTATGCGCAAAATTAAATTTTTAAATGTAGGTTCGTCAAGTTCATTTAAGTGATGCTGGGATCAAAGATTATGGCTCATTGTCTGTTTATGGGTTTTATTCAAGAAGAACCGCTCCATTAGAAATATCCATTAATGGCCTACCGCTTCGACTAGCCGAATGGCCAAATAAGGTAGGTAATTATTTTCTTGGCAGTGTTTCAGTTGTTCAATCTGTCGAGGGAATCAATGATCTATGAAGTATGGGTCGTAATACATAAGATAATTTTTACAGTTGCGTATGCGTTGGTTATATGGATTTATGAATATTTCCATTGTTGGAATATATAACTGATAGGTAACTGTTACAGCGAAATGTTCAACGACAGCGTTTAATATAAAGAAACGCGATGAAAACGTACCACTGATTTTTGGACTTTTACCGACAAAAGAAAAGCATAACAACTTTACATTGAAACAAGGGGTAAAAAATATCAAGTCAGTAACACGAGTGGCCAACCCTATCAGTCACATAAAAAATGTAACCTGGCCGGTTTGCTCTTGGGGTCCGTCTAAGTTTCGTTGCAATGATGCTTCCAGTTTACGAAGATTTTGCAGTTGGAAGCTCAGGGAGTGACGACGTCCAATATTGTCCTGCAGATGATCGATTGATTGGGGCTCGTGATATTTGATTTAAGAAATCTGCGGAGACACGTACTGTATGCGGTTTAGCATTGATGTATCATGCTGCAGATTGCCATGACGTCTCAAAACATCTTGCCTGTAGTAGTGGTAAGTAGTCCAACAGAGCGTACATGGCCACGAACAGTGTCGGCACAGATGAGACCATGTGGATCCCCCACTCTAGAAGCAGTGCAGGAAACTGGCAACGTACGATCCCCCAGACGTTGGGCGATCTCTAATGAATCGTGCCAGCTTGAAATGGTCGGTCAGTTTGGGATGGCGGCTCTGCTCTTCGCGCCCTCTTGAATTAATGCAATATGGCGTTCTCGATGTTAAAGTGTCACCCCTGGCATACTGTTTCGTTTTCAACATTCGAATTAATTTTGTGGCTTTGAAAGAATTGATCTGTGGTGTGGTTGCGCGATCGTGCAATAGTCATTCTCACAAGTTTTCGTTTGATTTTATGTCGTAAATTTCGTGGGTCTAAATAGGCACACATATAGAGAAGTATTTCATTGCAAACATATTGATTTTTTATTAACGTTTTCATTTACTTGCTTATAGAATTTTATAAATATAGCAACTGCGCCGAATGGAAGAGAAGGAACTACTTTTACCCATCATACTACTCGTGACTCTAAATGGGTTGGTGAGAAGGACCCCTGGGTTTATGGGTTCTGGTTAGTATATTTTACTAACGCTTTTGACATAATTATTTATAGTCCAAGCAAATCATATTTCTATATTCTTAGAAAAAGATAATGTCTATTAAAATTGAACCAAATTCTTCTAAATTAAAGCCGAATCCTTTTTTTCGAAATTTTCTCTAGCAGTTATTCAAACCTAAATCACCCGTAGGCTAAGAATTATTATAAACCTAAAGCAAGGCTGACACTTGCACGATTCCGTGGCACGCATTGGCACGACTCGAGTGATGCCAGTGCGCAAACTAGGAGTAAACTGGCGCGAAGTGTGCGTAAACCCGTCGTGACTACTTGCCATGTCGGGACGAGAATTTTGAAATGTTCAAAATTTTAGTCACGACAAAATTTAGCGACCGGGTCGTGAACTATGCGCAAACTGTTCGTGACCTCGTCGTGAACTCGTCGGGACGATGCGGGAGGATGCGTGGCAGTGCGTGGCAGTGCGCGCCATGCCACGACTGTCACGAACTGCCACGAATAGTTCACGACTAGTTCACGAATATGGCGTGCCCAAGTCGGCACGACACCGTCCGAATTGCGCAAACTCGTCGTGCCATAGCGGGAAGTGCGTAAACAATGCGCAAACTATGCGTGAACTCGTCGTGCCAGTTCGTGTCAATGTGGACACTGATGGGCACGCATTTGTGAACTCGTCGTGAACTATACGTGAACTAGTCGTGAACAGTGCGGGAGCCTCCCAGTTCGTGCCCCAAAATGGCACGACTTGCCACGACAAAATCGTGGCCAAAAGTCGTGCAAGTGTCAGCCTGGCTTTAGGCTTAAAGCTCGCATTTTCACTAGTGCTAGGTTCCCACTATGACGATTCGTGCTACGATTGAAAGCGTGGTTTTAATCGTGAACTAATCGTGGTGATCATATATTGAGGTCAAACGTATCAATCGTGTTGTCCGTATCGAAACCTATCCGAATGTATCTGCACGTAGCAGATCGTGGACTCAATAGAGACTTTTGGCAAGCGTAAATTTCTGGTCCGTATCACGTATCCGTATCGATTATGCTTGTGACGTCATCAATGTATGTGTTTTACTCATACGGGATACGGCACACGGATACGGCAGCACGTATCGAACAGCTTTCATACGGAAAAGGTCCGTATAACATCGTCATCTTTTTACCGTCTTGTTTGCTACTTTTAGACGCTGAAATATTGTGGTATAGCGTGTTTATGAATCTATGCGTATCCTAGAACACAAAGGTGAATATTTGATGTGATTTTAACCATGATAAAGACTGGAAATTAATCATTATGTTTGATGAGCTTTTATGGGAATTTTCATAATTTTTCCTGTCTGTCTGCATGCTGGTTGATCTATGTGCTAAATTTAAGGAGGTGGGACCTTGCAAATCTCTAAATGATGTGATTCTATGATACATTAGTGAAACCAAAAATGCTGTGGAGTCGAAGTCGAAGATTTTTAATAATATTCGACATTAAATGTTTTTTAATAGCTCAGCGACTGTCGAGCGACTTTACTCCCTCTAGGAATTGACTAGTACTGATGGTGATCTTGGTAGATAACTGCCATCATACTGTAATAGAACTAAGCTCAGCTCATCTACTCATACGTACGCGGCGGGAAAATCTGCCAAAACTCTAAAACTAAATTGACGCAACGTATCACGTGACGATACGCTACGTGACACGGATGGGAAAAAATCCGCTTGCCAAAAGTCTCTATTAGGGACAATCCTATCGTAACGCATCGCACGACAGTGGGAATATGGCATAAACAAATCAAAATTCCAACGCTCTAGATAATCTCCCAGCTTGGATTCAATCGGATTTAAACTTGGCCCACCTGCTACTGATAAAATATAGCAACACCGTGTTACGCTCAAGCAGCAAAGAACTATGAAATTTCAATTCCACATATCTCAGGAAATATTTAATGAATGGTGTTGAATCATTTTTGACCTGATATTCCTGTTAGAGATTTATATCTCCCAATAATGTTATTTTCAAGCGGGGAGCGACGGAGGCTATGTGAGTAGCCTGAAGTTCGTCGTGATTTTCCGGTGTGGTTTCCCGTTGTGAGTGGTGCTGGACGGAGAGCCTGACAAGGACAGCTGTCTAGTCATTCGGATGGGACTAATACCCGAGATTCCGTGTACACATTGGCGTGCACTTTAAAGACCCCTTAGCAGTTGGAATTCGATATTCGCTCGTAGCGCAGCTGTCCGGGCAAAATTTCACGCATATGGCGTATGCCCTGCTTCATTAGTCCAGTCGGAGCAGAACAGTAGGACGTTAAACCCCATTTCATTTCAGTTCATTTTTCATTTCAGTTTGCAAGTGATTCCTATTGCTTTAAATAGAACATTGGGACTTTACACTTTTATATTGCCTAATTAAAAATAACAACAAAACGTTTTTAGTATTATTAGTAGTACTATTATTATTGCTTTAATTATGTTTTAAGGTATTGGAGTTGGGCTGATCATTCTGCCCAAGTTGCCCACATTGATTCCCATGCACATAAGATAACACTGAAAGCTAAAACACATTATGGGTTCAGAACTGGTGAGTCATGCTGTATTTTATATCTGTAGCGAATAACGTGGGACCATTCGTATGCTTCTCTGTAGATTATTCAAGTATTAATGTGAAATTTAACATAACTGCATTCAACCAAATGTGACAAAGTGATTCATAATTTATACATTTTATCAAACGTAGACTATATTTTATACATATAATATAGTACGATTTATTAGATGTACCGAGCCTCACACATCTTATTAATAATATAGACATTATAATCAAAATATACTGATCACATAAATATACATGGATTGGTTGTGTTTAATTAACTGCAACAATCGATTGACAATATTACCTCAAATACTGATATTTTGTGATACACTGATAGTGTTACACAAAATCCGGGGACTATAATATGTATATATATTTATATGGAGATAAACATTTTTAACGTATTTATTTAATTTCACTGAGTAATTCTGATACTTCAGTCTTAATTGTTATTTTTTAAATGAGTTGGGGGCGATATTTTGGGTTGGCGTCTTGAATATCCCAGTATGGACCTGTGCGATTTTCCAGATTTGTCGTCCATACAAAATTACATATATCCCCCGTTTGCAAACATAACCATTGTTAATAAAAGACATGTCAACATTATAATAGTACCACAATATTCTGGATTACTAACACACGAGAGTCCATCCAATTTTTTTTTTATAAAGGAAGTCTACGGACAGACGGTAGATTGAATGGTTATAGCAAGCAAGGTGGTTACTTCCGGGTCATCAATATGCTCTCAGAGTTAGACTCCCCGGTAAGAATATGAAAATGTTAGTCGATTGTTAACAATATTCCGTATTGCAACACTGATGCCTTTGATATAATTTTATATATTTACAATGATTTTCAGAAGACAAGCTCTCGAAAACTCCTGGCTTTAGATAAAACAAATATCTACGATATGAAATTGCTAAAAAAAAAAATCCCAATTTTGTCCTAAGAAAACAGGGAAAATCTATTCAGAATTTGCCACATAAACAGACAGGACAGTGCGTATATTACGGGTGACATACACCCAGAATACGCAACCATTATAGATTCTAAATACAATTTCAGTCTCCAAATGGAATTCAGGATGAGCATGTGTATTATATGGGGTGCAATAATTACGTGTTTCACATCTAAACACCAGGCACCCTTCCGTGTATTTTCTAGGGAGAATACTATGTGGATAGATCTGCAGGAATTCTTTATCTCTGGCCCAACACCCATTCTGGAACTATTCAAAGCTCTGACGTGGTGTATGCTTCCATTATTAAAGACTGCATTTCGTAAGTATGTTAAACAGTTTGTTACTAGTAATCAAAACTAAATTCAAATAATGCTGTTTGGTCTTTCGACTCCAAAACACACATATATGGAGTCTAGGATCAAAGGCAGTCAGAAGTATTTTTAATATAAAAAAAACTCTTATCCAAAGCTTAATAAAATTATTCAGCTTCGACGTAATTTATGAACCACTTGAATTAGATTTCTTTAACTGGTTCATATTTTCTTCCAGATCTTTGTTAACTCCGTGAAGTACCAATGTTTGTAGTATTGTCTTATAGCTCTGATGTTTTGTTCATTTGATATAAAATGGAATGACATTTTAATATTTTTTTCAGGTTAAGTCATGGTGTAAGTAATATTAAGTTTGAAGGATTTACACTGGAAGCCTGTCGACATTATGGAATAACTGCTGATGGCGGACACAATCTTAAATTTACTAACCTAGAAGTTAAAAACACGGGTAGTAGAATTTATTATTAAGATTACTGGCAACTAAACCCTTGATTGTATGTGGTCAAGGCCTTGAAGGTCTTCTATCGGGTAGCTGTCGAATACAAATCTAACCTTGGTGACTTAGACCACAAGTAGACCGAGTATGCAATTACAAAGTTATCAAGGGGCTTTGTATTCAAAAAAGCATGGTTTTCATGGTCCCCGGATAATTTTTAACTTCCTCCTATCGTTTTAGCTAGCCCAAACCTCATTCTTTCACTCTTACGGTAGCGCAAACTGCTTTTTGACCACCTTTGCGTTTTCCAAACTTTCTATTTCGTACGGGTTCATGCGAAATGACAAAACCTCACCCAAAAGGGATGAAACACAATTTTCGTAAATATTTAAGTGAATTATTTTTATGATTATCACTAGTTTGCTGTATTAGTGGAAAATTGTTCTGTCTTGTTTTGCATAATTCCACTGTATTTCATTCTATTTTTCCCGTTTTGTTTCGTTCCATTTCATTTACCGCTAGTTCAGTTTCGTTTCGTTTAATTCGTAGTTTAAAGGCATCCTACATCGACATGTTACCAAAATATAAAATATATTCTTTGAATGTGTCAAGGGAGGTTGGGTTGCTGAATGGTTAGCACGTGCGCGCTGTATCATAAAGTCTGTCATTGAGTCAACTCGCCTGGTTTCGATTCCCCGATTGTAAGTGACAAGGAGTAGGGTCGCCTGTCCAACCTCGTGGGTTTTCTCCGGGTCCCCCGGTTTCCCCCCACTGCTAAAGACCCCTACGCGCAAGCGAATTATGGAAATAAAATTGAACTATATGTTAGTCCCGAAATGACCTAGTTTGTGTCGAGTGGATATTAAACTCTCTCTCTCTCTCTCTCTCTCTCGAACGTGTCAACCCAACAAGTGCATATGACCAAGTACTGGGAGCATAGTTGATTATTAAAGGGTCCGTGATTATTTCTACGCCCACCCCACATTCAAATAAATAAAACAGTCATGGTTCAGCAAGTGAATCAACTATACTTAAAATGAGTATTCTTTCCACTTTACAAGGAACGTTTGGCATTAGTTGTGGTAATGATTGTAGATCAACTACTATATCTAAATGTGATATACACGATACTGATGGTGCTATCAAGATATCAGGTATGTATTTATCATGTACTAATCGATTATTTCTAGGCTACGAAATGACAAAGTGAGGGGCGGTGGGGGGGGGGGGGGTAACTCTACTGATTCATTTGCGATCACGTGATTTAAAGTTGAATGGAAACTACACGATATAAAACGTTATACATTTGGGGGTATCTTGTTGACTTTAACTAATTAATTATTACATGTTCCAACACGTCATTTGCAATATTTTATAGCTGATGTCTGTACGGGGAGTTTATCTTTTATAGTGTTTACTAGAACATGTACCCCACATGTACTCCAATATTTATATAATCGAACTCAAATAATCGTTTATATTAGTGGGAATATCTTACAGACAGCCACCAAAATATACTGACACGTCATCTGCAAGATAGTCTACGGGTTTAGAGTTGCATAACATCTCAACAAGAAGCAGTCAGAGGCAGAACTTTTTCATTGAACATTAAAATAATGCTGGGGTTTTTTTTTGGGTACTCAGGTGGAGATAGAAAAAATCTGATATCATCTGGTAATATAATAGAAGATAATAGATTGTGGAATTTTGGAAGAGCTACAGCAGTTGGTGCTGATGGTATAGCACTCGGTGGCGTTAATACTATCATACGTAATAACTATATCCACCACGGTACTTATTCCTGTATTAAATGGAGTGTAAGTAGTATCTAGACATAGCACGACACGCATTCTTGTATTAAATTGTGTGTAAGCTATAACTAAAAAGTAAGATATACAGACTATGGTACTTATTAATATATTAAATTGTGTGTAATATGATAACCATAAATATGTAAGCCGGTACTTAAACGTGGTATAATGTAATGAATAACTAGATACGCACCGGTTTTTATTTCAGGACTAAATAGGATGACTGTTATATCAACATAATATTCAATCGGGTGAATTTTATATAAATATCCGGTGCATATTCGTGTATTAAGGGATGGACTGGGGTCCTGTAGCAGCTATTAAATCATGATACCTAGTCCTGTATTAAATATGGTGTATGAACCAACTATATAAACCATGATACATGGTACTTGGTACTGTATTAAATACGGTGCATGAACCAACTTTATACACCATAATACATGATACTTTTTCCGCTAATACTTAGACCTATATTAAATATCGTGTATGAACAAACTACATGTATATACACCGTGATACATGGTACTTGGTACTGTATTAATACGGTGTATAAACCAACTATATACATCATGATACATGATACTTATTCGGGTAATACATGTACATTGATGGCTTGTATGTTATAACTACATATTTGATCAATTCCTTTAAAGCGAGAATTTCATATTTTCAATTTTCAAAGAAAGTCAAAACATAATTATTTCTATGTCTTTTGCTCAATAGGTTGTCAACTCATTATTATACGATCATAGGCATTATTTCCCACACTTAAAATTCATTGACACTGGAAATAATAAATAACACAATTACCTCCTTTGTTTTCCTATTCCCCCAATGGAATAGCTATCTTCAAACGTTTGAATTTGAAGTTGAAAATTATATTTTTGCCAATTTCTCAACTGGCAATAGTGAATTATAGGATTAATAGGATTATTCTTTAACAAGGTAGGTCTGTTTATAGATACCATCTATTTTAAGGCTTTATTTTAATACATTTTAAAAATATAACTTAAAAATATGAAATTGCAACTTTAAATGAATAATTAAATAGGAATCATGATATTGCTCAACTCATATCCATTTTTCTTTTGCGCGAAATTCAGTGATGAAGCAGTAATTTTCATTTTAAATGACTGAAAATGTAATCGTATAAATATTGTATGTTTGGGATATATTTTAGGGTAATGACCACATAATGGAAAATAATCACTTTCATGATTGCTGTCATGCTACCAGCGACTGTGGTGCGATACATTCCGGTAGAGACTGGACATCAGTAAGATACTTTTCTATTATAATTAAGAATGATTCCTTTGGAATGACTAGACCTCTTTGATTGACTGGGTCAAACATCAATTCGGAACACTAGTGCAACATTCCCCTTGCTATCTAATATCACATAATTATAGAGTATTGCATTTAATATTTACATAAAATAAAGAGTTCCCAAGATTTCTTGTTTTGGTATGTCGGATTAAGGGAAGAACAACTCTTAGCAAATGGAATTGTTTGATAATATATAAATGTTCAATTAAATAGCCAATCATAAGAGGTTTTACGCTGTATTTTTTATTCTTGAAGAAAACAGAGTTGCCCCCCTTTGACCAGATCACCAATGCATCCTAATAATTAACTACGTAAATTGGATATGCAAATGAAACTTTTAAAAATTCATTTTACATTTTTATTCCACTCTTTGTAAACATCGAAATATGTAGAATTAGTATAAAGCAATAAAAGTAAAATCAGGTATACATTTAGATGACTCTTTATGTCACGGAATTGCTAGGAAGATATGGGCATTTGCTTAAATCCATATCAGATTGATGTTAATTGTCTAAAATACAGTATCAATAACATATTTCAGAATTTTAAACTTTTGTAAACAGACGGTTGTTTCACTTGGGGTTCAGAATATCTGCATCATTAATGAATGGCGATATGGTTGCTTGATTCTAATATGATTTAATGCATTTCCCTTTTTTGTGTACAATTAGAGGGGAACTGTTATTAGGAATAATTATATCCACAATACAGTAAGACATTGGCCTGGTGCTGAAATACGAGGAGTTATGTTAGATGATCAGTTTTCTGGTGCCAACATAGAACACAATATATTCGCATTGGTAAGTCAAATATTTTCCCACATTATCTGAACAACTGAATGCATTATACAAAAATATACAGGAGTGAAACAGGAAGTTGGAAAATGGTGGTGATCGGGATGAAAGAAGGTTGTTGTCCAGCGATGCAAGACATTCTTGGAAGATTTGCTTACCTTTTTTCAGAATAACGAAAAGTGCAATTTGTTACATTTAAACAGTCGGTGACATTCTTATTTGCGATATTCCCGACAAAGAGGTACATGAAAAGAAATAAGCCCGAGCCATGCAAGCCAATTAAATTAATTCTAGCTCTTTGAGGCTTGATATATAAAAGTGTGCATGTTGCCTGTGCCTTTTCAGGCTTTATAACAATATATAAATTATAATATAATGACAAATTATATTGATCTTTTTCTTGTGAGAAAAAAACGATGACAAAGGGCAGATCATCAATATATATATATATATATATATATATATATATATGTATTGTTGGAATTGGTAAAATTTGCCTGAAGAAGCTTAATAAAGCGGAAAGTACTCGCAAAAACCTAGTTTTTTTTCCTAAAACATCTTTATTTCGAATATATATATATGCGTACTTCTACATTTTTATATACTTAAGGACAGTAGTTTTTGAATCATAATTAAAGTCTCCAAAACCCGAATATATATTCTTTATTATATAATGAGATACATGTAAATGCTATCTCAGGGTGACTATTTACCTTGATAAATGTATTTCTTTATAAAAAAAAAAGAATGAATTATGCGTAAATGATTCTATGAAATATTTGAACGTATATGCAAAATGTAGTATATGTAAGTATGTATTATACTATGATATTTTTAATGTTTGATATTCTAGAATAAAGTACGAACGAATTATAACGAATATATAGTAGGTTGTGATACCATGTTGTATTTTAATGTATTTATATTATAGAATGGAATACATGCACGAGCAGAGCTTGATACCACGATAGAGTATAATGTATAATGCATTAGAATATTATAGAATGAAATACATGCATGGGGAGACCCTGATACTTATTTTAATGTATTTTTATTATAGAATAGATACATGCATGGGGAGACTATGCTATATTTTTTATGTATTTTATTTTATAGAATGAAATACATGCATGAGAGGGAGGAGGGGGGCTCTTATACCAGGATATATTTAATCAAATACATGCATGGGGAGACTTTGATATCATGATATATTATCATGTATTTAATATTATATAATTAAGTACATGTAAATATAGGAGGGGACTGTGATGTCATGATATATTATAATGCATTTTATATAATGAATTACATGCATGGCGAGTCTCTGGCACCATGTTATAATTATTATAATGTATTTTATATTATAGAATGAAGTACATGTAAATATAGGAGGAGGACGTGATACCATGATATATTATAATGTATTTTATGACTCTAGTAGTGCGGCTATAGATGTTGATGGGAGGGGTATAAGTGGAGGAACTAATACAGCTACGCTGGAAAACACTTTAAAGGTATTAATTATAGTCATAGAATATATGTCACAAAATTTTTATATTCAACTAAGATAGAAAATTAACATTTACGTATGATAGACAACGACTGCTGATTTGTTTGACCGATTCTATAATACGATAGGCTACAAATTCACTTGACAAATTTATTTTTAAACTATATTTGTTGCATGGTAACAAGAGTACAGTCCACTTGAGAAATACCTTTGACTAAGTAGAATAAATGTAGGAAATGACTAAAACAAATTTGTTTCATTCTGCAGGGCGTGCCGTATGCAGGTGCTCTCTGGGCATCAAAATACCCGACACTTGCAGCAATGGCACATAGCAAAAATCATGGAGCCCCTGAAGGTAGACAACAATATTAATAAAACTATTTATATCGTCTTTATCTTGAAAGGTCATCACACAATATTGGTAAGGTTGTCTGTTCACTTCGAAAGTTGCTTATTATTTTTCTTTTTGAAAATACAACTATGCAACGATATATTCGTATGAATTCGAAGTTTTGAGTGTATTTCAGCAGTATAAAACTTACCCCCATTACTTCATAAATTATTTCTTTTTAATAGGGTATAATATGATTATTTCTAAGGTTATATGTTTTAGAGTTATATTTTTGAGTTATTAAATATTTGCGGGTTATGACTCTAAAATTGTAGATCCTATTGATCAGTTGAGCCACAATTTAGCGCTTTTAACTTTTGGCCCACGAATGATTATTGTTCTAAAATATTTCTTTTGACCAGGAAATAAAATCTATCACAACCTATATTATCTTCGAAGTGGAAGACATTCGATCAATTATCATGGCAGTTTTCTCATGACCAATGCATATTTTGATCATGTAGATAATCATGGCGTATGTATAAACTTTTATGTATATTATTTTTTTAAATTAACGTGGCCCATTCTACCACCCCTATCATTCAGGGGTAAATGCTAAACTGTTTCTTACTATTTATGATTGGCGACATACTTTTTTTTTATCTTATGTATTACCAATTGTTCTATCATTAACTTGGGGATATATATCCCCCGCATGACTAGCCACTACCCTTTTTTGGTATGTTACATACCTGAGATACTTATCTAGATTATCAATCTAATTAATATAGATCTATATTTCGTTTCGTTTTTTATACTTTCGATGGCCTACATTACATGTAGATCTAACAAGTTATAGTGGGAGTTCACGTTCTATGACGTCAGCTACCAACCAAGCGACATTTGACCCGATTACGTCAGTCATTCGCTTAACCAATTAGCGACCGCCATGTATTTTTTTATCTACTTTTGCTTTGTTTTCTTTTCTATTGCCGCTAATGTCTACCCACAGTTCCGCGCAAAAAAGGTCAAACGCTCGATTCGACAGACCATTTGATTGGCTGACCCCTCATTTCAAGCAGAACACGAGTTAAATAACAAGTCTTCCAGATCCAAGTAAAATCGAAATTTTGAACTATAAAAAACGAAACAAAATTGGATCTGTGTTTTAACCAGATTGATTGCTAGATTATAATTAGAGTGGTGATATGTAGTTCTTCTACTCATTTATTGATTGATGTAGAAAAAGAACTATTTTGAATAACTGATATGTACTTCAAATACAAAAGTACGACACATTTTGGTCTGGGCAAAATTATCCTCATAGCACACTCTATGGCGCACGCCCATCTTTATTAGCCCAGTCGGAGCAGAGGAGTAAGACGTTAAATCCCATTTCATTTCATTTAACGACACATTTATTAGCAGTTTTTATGATTATTCCTACAGATTCACCTTTGGTAGCCTCTATTCATGGAAACCATCGTGGTATTAACTGTGAAATTAATATTAATAGTGGCAAAGTTTATGATAAACTCATTTGGTTGACAATGCATTGAAAAGTTTAGAATAACCTACTAAGATTAGAATAAGTTTTATTAAAAAAAAACGAACCATAAGATCGAAAGTTATATATTACAAAGGAAATAATTAAAACACACGACTCCAAACAAACTTGGGGTCAGGAATGTTTTAGACCTTCGGAAATGAACTGTAGTCTGAATGTATGATATATATTTTAGGCCAGCAAGTCTGACTTCTATTCTCCAGAACATAATAATTTTGAACTACGATGTTATGCAAGAGATTGGGCCAATTCGGTAAATTTTGCACAGCCTGTGTCGTATGATAAAGTTGGACCGAGACATCCTTATGGTCCTTATTACATTAATAAAGGTACTGTTACTTCGTAGAGTGTGTCTATCAAAAAACACAAGATAATTCGAGTTAATGTAACCCTAAAATTGACTTTGTACCAAATAGGTCTAATACAAGGTTTCATCAACTCGAAAAAAAAAAGATATGTATATCAGGCGATTAAAAGTGGCCTGTGAATGCTGGCAAAACCACGTTTATGTTTGTATGCCGTTAGAGGTCATTTATTTGATAAATAAAGTATTTATACGTTTCTGTTATTAACAACCACATCGACCATTTTGTAATAACTAACGTAAAAACAATTACTGTACGTTTATTTTAAGTCACGTGTTTATTGATAACGTTACAGGTCATTCGGTAATAAATCACGTATCGTCAGCAGTGACAACCGGTTCCTGTACCAAACCAGCACCTCCACCAGACAACAACAACACCACACAAACTGGTAATATTTCATACTGCACTACCACCCAAACCCATGCAATCTTTCGTACATAGAACTATGTAACATTACTTTAGCCTACATAATGCCGTGTCAAATCTTCCAATGAGGTTAACCCCCTTTCGACATAAGTAAAATTTCGGTCTTTATGTTAACATTGGCCGAAAAAGCTGATATTCGGACTTTCAGCTGAAAATACTTATTTTCAAATCGATTAGTCAAAATTGTGGAAATGGAAATTTCTGGAACGACTATTACAATGAAGGTCAACTGCTATTCATGCTCCGTATCTCTGTTGGAGATCATTGTATGACATATAACACTTGCGGGAACAGCGAAAATATTCACAATTTTATTCTGGCCAAAACTTAGTGAAATATAAAACACAACAATCGATATTGCAATCTGGTTTTGGAAAGGATTAGAAATTATATATAGTAATGTCCATTTTCCCATTTTGTTGATGCCTTATTGCTCCTTTGTGGTAAAGGTTAAAGACATGAATTCGGATAAATTAATTGACATGAACTGATACTAATGTTACAGAACCCGTAGGATGTTGGATACGAGTTACAAAATGTCCAGCCGATGAAACAGTTGGTGGAGATTTCTATGATAGTTGGGGTGTACCTAACCTTGCCACAAGTAAGAAATTAAACAACGAAACACGTTCTTCAAATTGTTTTAGTTGCACAAGTCGAACTAAAATCCAGCAATTTTTTTTAATAAACTGGGTAATATGATGTACATACATGTCACTATATTTTGTATTTCTAACTATGGTTGGTTTGTTGTTTGTGCGCTTTTTACGATGGTTCTAAATGCTTCGGTCCGCGACCAAGTCTCAGCATAGTGATTTTAATCGAAATGTCCAAACCGATGCATCATCACATTACACGATTGTCTTAATTGATGTTGGATTTTCAAATCAAAATGCCACTGTGGGTTACTTTAGATGAGTTGATAACATATTATAAATTATAAATTGTGGGTATTTTCAGATGTCGACATGTGGGAGTGCCACGGCAGAGCAAAATATTACTGGAAGAAATGTGGTTCACACACAGTTTATCCCGTCACGGCATTTCATCAGCCAACCACAAGGACTAAAACTGTTCCTTGAAATATTTTCAAAATATTGAGGAAGAACTGAAATATAAATTTATATATGTTATTTGCTTTGGCTTTTTGTGTTAATTTGTATATCAACCAACGACATTACCACAGGACATGGGATATTTAAAACTGGAATAACTGAACGAAGAGACACGTACTTGCCGAATCCCCCCGCCCGGTCGCTTTGCCCTGTTAATTCTCCAGAACAGACAGGGATCAAAGTTTTTTACTTCCAAAGTCAACATTCCTTAAGGACTGACCCTTGCTCCAAACACATTGCCTGCACACTTTGTCGTATAACTTAAATACATTAACACAATGTCGGCCGGGGTCGCACCTCTCTCCCACAGTAATTACTAAAACAAAGGAACGTACAATTGCGTTGGTCAAATTTGTATGGCTGTATTCCCCACTACTGTGAGAATCTGCAGTTCCCCTTGGACAAGGAAGGTGTATACGCATCATTTCCAATTGCGGAGATCACGCCACAGCATTCCTGCAAATATCATAGAGCGATAATTGATTCGACTCACAGTGCAAGGCGAAGAAAGTTCAGTTTCTGCAAACAAAAACGAAACAAAGTTTATGACTAATCTAAATTTACTGGAAAGTTCGTTTTTTTTAACGAATCATTGAAATCCAGACCGACGAAATCGGCAAAACATTATGCAAATCTCCAACTACAAATATATTAACTTACCAATCGAAAAACGTGCTTTTTACCATGCTAGGCCCTTTTCTGTGAAATACACTACCACAGTCAATGAAACAATTGACGTCAGTGGGCCTTTTAAAATCTCAACTTAAAACAGTCTTGTTTCATACTGATCTGTAAATAATCAGTGAATATAACAACCAACGGCACCTTAGAAACTGTTCTCCGGTATTTATAAATGACGAAATTATTATCATCGGCCGTCTGGTTCCAAAACAATGGCAGTAAAGGTCCGACCATGTCCCGGGCGACCTATTGCGAATACAGGACGACGTCAGCGAATTCCTAGCAGGAGTAATCTCCAGGAGGGTCATTAAACGCCCCTTATGGACCTGTGGCCGCCCGATTATACATCCGGAATGGCTTTTAGTGAGACGGTGATGGAATATGTTCTTGCGACGAAGAATTCATTGGTCGGACGAAAGCAGGTTTCTACCCCATGTCACGAATGGACGAAATAGTGTGGAGAAACAGAATCGCGGCTTATTCACCCAGGAACCTCAAGTCCAACTGTTCCGTACGTGGGGAAGTGTCTCGCACTTTGAAAACTGGACATTTTCACCACACCAGGCAATTTGACATGCGATCAGTTCATACGCATTGTCGCAAATTTTGACAACCACACATTCGACACAATGCCCGTATTAATGGAATACAATACCAGACGTCATCGTTCAGGCGCAGTACTGCCCTTTCATCGACAGAATCCTGTAACTACATTACCGTGGTCAGTCATGAGCCTGTATGAATATATGGGATACCATTGATTATCGGATACATGCAATGGACTCCCCTATTCAGAATTTTCAAGAGCTGGAAGCAGCATTACACATGGAATCCATTGTTCAAATCCAACATTTCAACGGAGGGGTGCGACGCAAGCTGGAAGCCGTCACCCTAACACGGAGAGGCTACACGCGCTGCTGAACCATTTGGATACGGCTGTCAGGTAGGTACCATATGTGACATTTTTAATCCACGAGAGTCACCTTGGTGTGCTTAAGAACCCTATACCTCTATTTGAGATTGTCATTTTGTCATTCAAAAATACTGCCATTGTTTCCTATCAATATCTTCATTAAAACATCAAAGTAAATAACAATTGCCGTGTATGTTGATTAGTAAAATGTTGTTTTTATCGAGTAAATTCACATTTATCACTACGAGTTGTTATTATTTTCTCACACTTTGCCATTACGCTTTGCACAAATTCATAGGGATGCTTATCCTTTTTCCAGGCATATACATTCTTATTACATAAATATGTGCCTTTGGTCCATTTTAGGTTCCAATAAACAGAGATCAAGCTGCTTTGTCAAACAAATAATAAACTAGCGGCTGCCAGGCAGGATACGCCCACATTTTCGAGAGAGGGATAGAAAACAAGCTAAAACGAAAGTGATTTTTCCTACAATCAAGGGCCATAATTCAGGAAATTACAATTCGATATGCGCAAATATCGAAAGGAATCAAGATCTTTGGGTTATAAACTTACATTTCAAGTTTCAACAAAATCGGATAAAAATTGTGACCTCTATAGGGTCCACAATCTTGATATACCATATTTTTACGCAATTTGAGAACGAGGGGCGGCAATTTTGTCTGTCAGTTTTGGGCCGATTTTCATGAAATTCGAACTCAGTCGTCCTTAGGGTGTAACGGTGATATAATAATACGTTTTTTTTTTAAATCAGATAAAAATTATGACCTCTATAGGGTCCACAAGCTAAAAAAGCAATTTTTTGTACAATCAGGGCCATATTTCAGGAAGTTACGGTCCGATATACGCGAATATCGACAGGAATCGAGATCTTTGGGTTATAAACCTACATTTCAAGTTTCAACAAAATCGGATTAAAATTGTGACCTCAATAGGGTCCACTGCAACCTTGATATATTTTTACGCTATTTGAGAACGAACGGCGGCCAGTTTGTCTGTCAATTGTGGGCCGATTTTCACAAAATTCGAACTCAGCAGTTTTAATAATAACAGTGATATAATAATACGTTTTTTTTTAAATCGGATAAAAAATTATGACCTCTATAGGGTCCACAAGCTAAAAACGCGATTTTTCGTACAATCAGGGGCCATATTTCAGGAAGTTACGGTCCGATATGCGCGAATATCGACAGGAACCGAGATCTTTGGGTTATAAACTTACATTTCAAGTTTTTCAACAAAATCGGATTAAAATTGTGACCTCAATAGGGTCCACAACCTTGATATACCATATTTTTACGCTATTTGAGAAGGAACGGCGGCCATTTTGTCTGTCAATTTTGGCCCGATTTTCACGAAATTCGAACTCAGCCGTCCTTAGGGTGTAACGGGGATATAATAATACGTTTTTTTTAAATCGGATAAAAATTATGACCTTTATAGGGTCCACAAGCTAAAAACGCGATTTTTCGTACAATCAGGGGCCATAATTCGGGAAGTTACGGTCCGATATGCGCGAATATCGAAAGGAACCGAGATCTTTGGGTTATAAACTTACATTTTAAGTTTCAACAAAATCGGATAACAATATACGTCCACATGAAAATGTGGGCGTATAAAAATAGATTATTTTCGTGGCATTTTGAAATTCAAGATGGCAGCCACCAGCAGGGCACTTACTGACTAACCATGAGTTCCAGGGTTCGGTCCAATCCCGGTTGGTGCAGAAATGTAGCCAGGTAAACCTCCATGGTTCTATCCCTTCCGGGTTGGTGCAGAAATGTAGCCGGGTAAAACTTCATGGTTCCATCCCTTCCCGGTCGGTGCAGAAATGTAGCCGGGTAACCCTCCATGGTTCCATCTCTTTCCGGTTGGTGAAGAAATGTAGCAGGGTAAATAACATTTCATTTTACAGCAGACTTAAAATTTGATTGCTAATTGCTGGGATTTAATTTGTACCCTCGGGTTCGTGTCAGGTATACCTTATCAACAAAATAACTTTCTGTTTAAAGCACAAAAAATGTCTTGAATTTACACACCACCTGTTTTTATAATGGCTTACCATGTTTATATCACAGTCCATTTAATGAACCTGCTGTTACTACAACAATATATATGAACCTTTCTATGGGTATAAATCAGGAACATTGAACGGAAAAAAAATAGTGGGATAGATTAAGATAATTAGTGAATTGTTCGTTGTCTTGATTCTCCAAAAAGTGCAAGCAGCGAACGCCAAATACAGAGTCGGGTTTCGTTCATTTCCAGCGTATTCTGTTGTAAAAATTTGAACTACTGGAAAATTCGCAACGAAACGCTGACAATACGAGAATGCGTCTATTTTAAATGCGATTTAAAGATATATGTCTTCTATTTACTTAATTTATTAAATATTCGCTTAATATCTGTGTTTCATTTTTGTATGAAAATATTCGTCAATTTTGTCCCCCGCCTTTCGAAGAAAGCAGAGGACTATTAAAATGATTTCGTCAGTCTGTCCATCCGTCCGTCTGTCCATCACACTTTTTGGGACACTTGGTTCAAACTTGGTGTAGGTGTTTATTAGGTCAATGCCTTGATGGAGTTCGAAGATGAGCATTTTCGGCTTAGGGTAAGCAGAGATAAGCAATTTATATGGTTGATGCTTTGGGGCACGATAACTTTAGTTCTAATTAAGCACTCTCCACACAAGTCTCCCTATCCAGCATTGGTCACGTGATTAACTAATGACACCTGTCAGAAAAGTTCTAGGGGAAAACGTCATCAATTATTACCCCTTCGAAAGAAAGCAGTCTAATTTTGCATGTTTCGTGTGTAAATGTATTAGGCCTTACGATCGCATTATAAAGGTAAACAGATCTACGCGCAGTTCGTATTTCCAGCCACTTAACCCTGTAATATTACGCGAAAGAGTTGCCTGTAATATTTGTAAATACATTGTTACTTTGCAATTGTGACCCCATTTCTGGCGACCAAGAAATGCGCAAAGTCGCTGGCAAACGTGAACACAATGCGCGAAAATGTCCCAAAAAATTACAAACTTGACAAAGCCGCGTTCTCCCAGCTATCTGAGTCAGATCGCAGAACCGTGGCGTGCCGGAGACCACGGCACGATGTCTGGGGTTTCCACAGCGCTTAGAACGATCTTGATGCGCTCTGAGACCATTTTCCGTCGCCGTAGCAGCGCAGTAAGGCCGCCACCCCGGTCTGACGAGGGTTTTATGTGTGTGGTGAAGTATATCTGACTCCGTAATAATATCGTTTTTTATGCACCACCAAAGCTCATTGGTGATATTTCTGCTTGGAAACTCATAAATAGCAACAGGAACGTTCAAATAACGAATACAGTAGTAATGGGGATACTCGGCACTCATTGATGAAAATGCACGGCTTTTGTTAGATTGTGTTGAGATGAAATATAGCCATGCATGCCCATAACTTTATACACTTCCCTGCTACAGACGTAGGACGTTATATAAGCACTATTTCAATTCATTTCATGTCATTTTTGCAATGTTTTCTGATTCCTGGCTGTCATGGGTGTAAGTGGGGAGGGGACAGCTTTTGCACAGTGAATGCACAACAAGCTCTTAACAAAAAATCACGTATAAAATAACCAATACCAATTTTCTTTCAAACTGATTTTCTTTTTCTTTTATAAAGTAAAGTATGTACAGTAGTGTACCCTTCTAAAAAGGTCTTTGTGATAAAACTATTTTCCCACGAAACACTAACAGTTTTAGTATGTTTGATGTGTATTGTTTTTTCACGCGGCGGGGACACAACCCTCTACTACGCCGCGAAGTATGATATGATATAAAAATTCATATTTTTAAAGTATCTTTGTTCTGTCATACTAATGAAATTCATGTTCGACTGGAGATTTGTTTCCCTACTTTTTCTTCTACAATCTGTGGCGTAATGTTAGCCTTATTCTAACATACCCTATTGCCGCAGCACATCCTGACGCGGGCATCGTAACTGCTTGTACCGCAACAAGCTGGACTTAGACCAGATCGACGGTTAATTTGTCCCCCACAACATATGTTAATCCTTGAATCGTAAGTGCTTGAACCGCAACAAGCTGGACTTAGACCAGATCGACGGTTAATTTGTCCCCCACAACATATGTTAATCCTTGAATCGTAAGTGCTTGTACCGCAACAAGCTGGACTTATACCAGATCGACGGTTAATTTGTCCCCCACAACATATGTTAACCCTTGAATCGTAACTGCTCGTACCACAACAAGCTGGACTTATACCAGATCGACGGTTAATTTGTCCCCCACAACATATGTTAATCCTTGAATCGTAAGTGCTTGTACCGCAACAAGCTGGACTTAGACCAGATCGACGGTTAATTTGTCCCCCACAACATATGTTAATCCTTGAATCGTAAGTGCTTGTACCGCAACAAGCTGGACTTATACCAGATCGACGGTTAATTTGTCCCCACAACATATGTTAACCCTTGAATCGTAACTGCTCGTACCACAACAAGCTGGACTTATACCAGATCGACGGTTAATTTGTCCCCCACAGCATATGTTAACCCTTGAATCGTAACTGCTTGTACCGCAACAAGCTGGACTTATACCAGATCTGCGGTTAATTTGACTCCCACAGCATATGTTAACCCTTGAATCGTAACTGCTTGTACCGCAACAAGCTGGACTTAGACCAGATCGACGGTTAATTCGCCCGCCACAACATATGCTAACGCTGGTAGTATATCTTCTTCCCCCGCAAGCAGCTGGAATCAGAATAAAATATACTGTTAGTGGTGCTGAAACAATGTGACAATCCGTAACATTTGGAATGTTAAAATCAATTCTTCCAATCATCAGGAAATAGGGAATAGGTTTCTTAATCTACTTGCGAATAGATGCAACATATTACTTATAATAGAATTGACCTCATTGCCCTTTAACCCAACAAAATGGCGCCTAGTCCGACTAAAATTAACTTCTAGTGCTAAGGAGCTAATTGCAGATCAATCCGGTGACAACGAAATAGGGAACTGTTAAAGTAAAGTTAGGCCTACATAAATCTCAAGAACCGAAAACAAGAAATGCATGGAAAGAGTCTAGCATATCACAATAATTTTCTACATTAATGGCACGCGTGTCCAGAATAACGAAAGCGGGAGGACAAAACTCCTAAATTTCTTTAAATAATGTTAATGAGTATCCCCTGAAAACAGAATTAAAATTACCACCTTGATTGCCCCTTCCCACACCCACTTGTTGCAATAATACAATGATCCATGCATGGGTTGGACACCATTCATTAACTGTGATCTGGTGTGATTGGGTGACGATGAAAAGAGTTAAGGAGCCCATGACTCTATTCTTTGGAACCTTAAAATGGCGACAATGGCATTACTAATTACTTCCGCATTGTCTGGTAAAATATGTTTTTCTTTGTTCATTACAAATGGCACTGGAAAATACAGAATACACGACTCGCGAACTGATTCTAAAATGTTCATTGTGTCTTAAATATTAGGTATTGGGATCCCATATTTTCACATTGATTGAAATGGACCAATATTGAATTCTAATTCGTGTTTTTAATTTCAAAGATTATAGAAAATATTGAGTTAGAGGTTTAGCTCCTTTAAAGTGATGATTATATCCTTTATTTCTTGGTCTGGTATATTTTAATATTTTGATATTATAAAATTATATGCTTACTTACCAGTATTAGACCACAATGTGTCGGTTCCAATAAGACACATCAAGACAAAAAATATTCCAGGAACTACCAAACGTAGTTGTACGGCCATTTTGCTTTACAGAAATCAATGCAAACTATTTCATCTGAAAAATATTAATGTTTATATATATAATAATTCATTATTTTATACCGGTAATGATTTCTTTGTTTACCTGATAGCTTGAAATTATGAACGAAAATTTAAAATTTAGTACAACTTGTAGCTGGTAGTTTTTAAATAGCCTGCATTAAGTTTAATAGGAATAGATCGGAAAACAAAATATTAGCTATGTTGTACTTACCCCGTCTAAGTTTGATATCGTTCTGTCAATTGTCCTTGTTTCAGGGCTTTTTATACGGTACCTAGGAGGAGTAATTTTCCACGAACTGTTGTTCAGTGAAATAGGTTAAATACATAATTGTAAACATCCTGTTGTATTTTGACGTAGGCTTACAGAATGGATATTTGAGAGACAAGAGGGTCAAATATACTGTTGGTCTCGAATAGTGTATTGTCAGCAATGTGGTTATACGAATGGACAAAATGTGGATATAAACAGATGCTTTGTACAGTTCTAATCTAATGTTACAGGGTTGTCTAGTGGTCTAATAATAAATATATATACTATATGCGTTTTGAAAGGAGAATAATACCTTTCGAATTCCAATCAGGCTTCTATCCCCTATTGTTTTCCAATTTTTTTTGTTTGCGACAAATGTTTTTTAAAAAGATGGGAATAGCTTTGAAATAGTGATAAATGGAACGGCTAAAGATTGAAAAAATAATTTATTTTCCACTAAAAAACGTGTATCATAGCACACTGCTTGGCGCGTGTGCGTCTTCATTACCCCAGTAGGAGCAGAACAGTGGGACGTTAAACCCCATTTCATTTCATTTGCAGGCATGAAAATAACGAATGATATTAATGGGAGCATGACATGAATGTGTCGATTTGGTAACATAAAATTAAGTACGGCGTTGGCCTATATCTATTCGATGAATCAGTGTATGAGCTCGGTGTCTCCAGTTGGTCGAGACTGCAGGAGGAACCGTGACATGGTTTCTGCCGCTAATCCCGCGAAGCCGGTGTTTCCTGACTGTAAGACCCGTAACGTGGTTGCGGCCGCTAATTCTGTGAGGTCGGTGTCTACTGGGGTTTTTTTCATGTCATGTACTGCATATTATGTTAGTTATCATATTGGGGATATAATTATTTCTGTCATTTTATTTTTGTAATAGAGAAAAAAGAAACACCAGAAACATCAAGCTGACTTCTGTCCCATCAAGTATTTTTAATATATTGAAGTGGTTAAACAAATGGGTGACCCAGTGAAATGGGCTAAGTAGGTATTTTGCAAGATTCAAGTTTCTGGAAGGGGGTAACTATCGTCCAGGTATTTGATGCACAGATTAGTGCAGATTAGATTAAATAGAATAACGTTATCGTAAGACGGCGCCCATACGAAACACTTACCCAAAAATGGTAATTGGCCCGCACTAACAGCTGACGCATCTATACTTTCTATATAGGAAGGAGTGAGGTTAAATTTCCATTCAGACATCATTAGAGATCCTAGGAGAGACACCATGTGGGCTTTCTAGACAGATCTACCGTTAGCCGCCTCGGCTTAGAGGCCGGGGTACCGACATCATGCAGGGTTCTTAGAAGGCGTACTCAAAGCCTTCTTGGCTTAGAGGCGGCTGTGACGGGGTCAACAAGCAGTGTTTCAGCTGTTAGGTCTGAGTTTTAGGCTTGATAAACCCAGACTGTATATATTAAAATAACTCATAGTTTACTATCATAGATGTTGTAGTTTCCTGTATTTTATATATATATATATATAGATATAAAAACGAAGTGTTCCAGAGTCAATTGATCATTGAAAATAGTTTTATACACAACGCGGAGGCCAAAGATAGTTCCGAATTGATCATAGTGTCATATTATCGCTTTTTGGCGCCGTGACGAAGGATAGTCACATCTGCATTGTTTTCTGATGCTTCACTGTTATGACCTGTGTTTGTGGGGAAAGGTCAGCAATTGGATGATGATAGATGTTTTTACACATTGAATGTACAACAAACCCAAACATAAAGACAAGAATAAAACTTTATTTTTTTAAAACAAAACATATGAATAGCTTTAAATTAGGACACTAATGTACATTAGTGTCCATAAAAGGTTGTGTGTGGCATAATTATCCGACACAACTTTAATAGATTTAGTATGTTTAATGTGCTTTGTTTTTCGCGTGGGGACACAACCTACTACTATTTCATATCTTTATCAAGCATCTTTGTCATGTCATACACATATGAAATTCAAGTTCCACAGGAGATTTTTTTTCCATGATTTCTTCAAGCATCTCCAGCGTAATCGTGGCCCTATTCTAACATACCCTATTGCCGCAGCACATCCTGAAGCGGGAATCGTAACTGCTTGTACCACAACAAGCTGGACTTATACCAGATCTGGAGTTAATTTGTCCTCCACAGCACATTCTAAACTTTGAATCGTAACTGCTTGTACCACAACAAGCTGGACTTATACCAGATCTGGAATTAATTTGTCCCCCACAACACATCCTAAACTTTGAATCGTAACTGCGCGTACCACAACAAGCTGGACTTATACCAGATCTGGAGTTAATTTGTCCCCCACAACACATCCTAAACTTTGAATCGTAACTGCGCGTACCACAACAAGCTGGACTTATACCAGATCTGGAGTTAATTTGTCCACCACAACACATCTTAAATGTAGTAGAATATCTTCTACCACCACAAACAGCTGAAATCAGAATAAAATATACTGTTAGTGGAGCTGAAACAATGTGACAGTCTGTAACATTTAGAATAACAAAAATCAATAATCAGGAAATGTTGATTAGATTTCTCAATCTACTCGTGAGAAGTTAGAACATATCACTTCCAAATGAAATTTACCTCGTCAGCATTTAACTACCCATAGTAGCGCCCGGTCCGACTAAAATTAGCTTCTAGTGTCAAACAGCTAATTTCAGACCGATCCAGAAAACATACTTCACAATAAGAGTTGACATTCCGTTTTAATAATTTCTAAAAGACTCGTTAACGGCTTCTGATCATATTTCGGTGGTGTTGTTTCATAATATTCTAATAATTCTATGTCGTATAAACGCATAACAGTACTACTATATTATACGGAAATGGTGACCAAAATCCATAGACTTTTAAAATTAGATGTGCATTATTGTATGGTAAAATACATTAATTACAGTTATTACAGTAAGGGGTAGTATTACAATAGGGATTAAGAGAAATTGTATTACAATTATTACATTTATTACAATAGGGGTTAGTATTACAATAGTGCTTAAGTGACATTTTATTACAATTATTACATTTATTACAACAGGCGGTGTTATTCCAATGGGGTTGTAACAAAGCTATAATGATTCCAAAATAGATAATTCAAAGTTAATATACTGAAAATTTATTCAAATTACTTTATTCTAAGCTAAGTTATCACTTCTTGAAATTTGGACAAGATGTGGCACAGATTGTTTAATATCGTATAATCAGCCTTGCTTCTCCATTTTTAAATTGAATCATTAAATGGCGGTCGTATTTCAATCTGTTTAAATCTCCGCCATCCAATAATCTAGATAGTTGATTATAGACTTGCCATGTGAATAAATGTCTAAATACTAATTTTGATGATTTTTGGAGCCTAAGTAAAAAAAATATGATACGCACAATGTGCGCTTACATATAATACATCTTTAATGCAATATGACTTGATATCAAGTGACTTATATTCAAACTTCTTTTTCAAAAAATACTATTATTTCTGCTTAGTCCATTCTACACGTTTTTTGTATTATTATTTTGTCGTTACAAATGGCACCAAAAGATAGAATAAACGAATCGTGTACTGGTTATAAAATATTCATTGTGTCTTAAGTATTAGGATCCCATATTTTCACAAGATACCAACATCAATATCGATTGAAATGGAATAATATTGAATTATGTACTTGTTTTTAATTTCTAATGTTATCGGAAATATTGAGTTATGGGTGTAGATCCTTTGAATGTTTGATCTGGTGATTAATTGTTTTATTTATTGGTCTGGCATATTTCAATATTATAACGCTATATGTTTACCTACCATCTCCTTTAAAGTCATGATTATATAATTTATTTCTTGGTCTGGCATATTTTAATATTTTGATATTATAAAATTATATGCTTACTTACCATTATTAGACCACAATGCCTCGGTTCCAATAAGACACATCAAGACAAAAAATATTCCAGGAACTACCAAACGTAGTTGTACGGCCATTTTGCTTTACAGAAATCAATACAAACTATTTCACCTGAAAAATGTAAATGTTTATATATTTTTTAAATATAAAATTACCCATTATTATATACCGTTTGGTGTACATGATAGCTTTAAAATTTGAGCGAGAATTTAAAATTGAGTACAAATTGTATCTAGCCCTTCATAAATAGCATGTATCGAGTTTAAAATTGATGGATCAGTAAACAAAATATTAGTTATGTTGTACTTACACCGTCTAAGTTTGATATCGTTCTGTTAAATTTATTTGTATTTCAAGGCTTTTTATACGATAACTGATAGGAATTTTCCACGAAACTAAAATGACAAACCTGTTTTATTCGGTGAAATGGGTTAAATACCTAACGTAAACATCCTGGTTGTATGTCAACGCATAGGCATACCGTATAGGTAAAAATCTCTTGTTGGTCCCCAAATAGTATGTTGTCAGCAATTTGGTTAAAGGAATGGACTGATGTTAATTTAATCATGTTTCATTTTCAAAAACCAAGCCTTATTGCTAAAATATTCGCTTTCAATATATTTTAATAACAAATGTGGATATAAACAGATGCTTTGTACAGTTCTCATGCCAGTGTTTGTATAATTCAACGCGTATCTTACAGAAGAAATAATTTGGCCGATAAAATAAATTTTAATATATTAATGTTAATGGGACGAAGGGATGTTTAGAACATGAAATTCATGTGACTTATGTCGGTCATAGAGACGTAGTGCAGTTTTCTGGGGGTTGTAGCTTATTCAAACACTAACGACGAAAAGTCAGACAAATAGTTAAAATTTTACTTTTAATAAACAAGTGTCCAAAACGATTAACGGTCACGATACTAAAGTTACAGCTAGAATATGGAACATTTATACAAGCTTAGGATTAAGATAATTATATAATAATATTTGATAAGAAATGTTAAATTGCAAATGGGTCTTTAAATACATCAGATGCTATGTAAATAGCATGAACCCGTGTTTTAACACATTTTTTATGTCGTTACAGTAGGTATAAACTCAGTTGGGGCACAATCTATATTATACATCCTGTTGACCGATTTACACGATTCGGCTAAAAATGAAGACAAAGTGCAGCCTATTATTGAATAGAAGAGGAAACAAATCTCGGGGAATGACACTTTAGCTATAAACTATCACACACTATACGTCAGAGTAGATGTAAAGATCCTGTTACTTAAGTATAACTGTCACAATTCAAGGTCACACAATAACATAACTGGACGGCTTAAAAGTCAAGTGATCCAAGTCCTCATTTTAAGTAAATTGAGTTAGTCGCTCAGGCGTGTTTCCCTCATATAAATTTTATCTTGTCAAAAGATCTAAGTCCTGTATGAATATTAAAAGTAACATTTTCTGATCTAAATATTTTAAAAATCGTTATACGATTAGGACTTTCTGAAAGATTAATCCATGTGTACTTGGATCATAGACAATATCTGACCCTTCGTCTTGCACACATAAAAAACAGAGAGAGAGAGAGAGATGGGGTTTAACGTCCACTCGACACAAACTAGGTCATTTCGGGACTAACATATGGTTTAATTTTATTTCAATAATTCGCTTGCGCGTAGGGGTCTTTAGCAGTGGGAGGAAACCGGAGGACCGGGAGAAAACCCACGAGGTTGGACAGGCGACCCTACTCCTTGTCACGTACAACCGGGGATTCGAAACCACGCTAGTCGACTCAATGACAGACTTTATGATACAGCGCGCGCGCACACTAACCATTCAGCCACCCAACCCCCACATAAAAAACAAGCCATATACAAAGATGATATAATAATAATCCATCACTACACTCTTTCCTGTAGATCTTGGTTGGGTAAAAATTATATATCAAAATCTGAGCAGGACAAAGTGATCCAAGTGGATGCCAAATAGCCGTCAAGTGTTACCATGGCAATGAATGCAACCAAGAATCTGCTGCAAATTTAAGGTACACTTTATTATACTACTATTAAACAACGGGTCAAACAAGAGACGCCATAATTAAGACCGGAAACTGCACACGAAACTTTCCTCTGCCAATCGGACAAACTTTGGAGTTGCGAATTAACAATGAGGTTTAGAGTTGCTATATTGCAATTGGTAACACATTGAATTGGTAAAATCTGAATATCTTGCAGAAGATACCTGTGACAAGACCAAATACTTTTAACATATAAATGTGGGTTCAATATGGTCTTCTAGATCTTTGCTGCAATGATAAATGACACAAATGAAATGCCCCCCCCCCCCCGAAAGCAGTTATATAGCAGGAACTATTTACCCTAAGGTAACACTATTCCTAACATGTCTAACAAAATGGTCTCAAATTGATGATTTAACATGTAATTAAAAAAATAAAATGTCCACGGTATTTAGATGGCATTTAAAGGTGCAGCCGTTTTCCCTAATAGGGAATAAAACTACAAGATGGAGGTACCAGAACAGGGTGGTTTTCACTTAATGATTCACTGGTTTTCAATAATTGGTGTTTTGGGTTTTGTATAATAAACCCTGGTCTTTTAATTCCAAGTAATGATATAATGCAGAAAAAGAAAAAAAATACATATTTAGAAAATTAGTTTAACACTCAGTAAATTGTTAACCCAAAACGGGTAATCTAACTTTCCTATTCTCGTTCATAATTTTAAAAAAAACGAACATGCTTCTATGAACAAAAATTATAGCTAGAGTAACACTTGTGTTGACTATATGAATATCTTTTAGATTTGATTGAGGTAAGAGCTATTATAATTACTATTATTATTATTACAACATATTTATAGTGCGTCCAAGTCTAGCTGCAGTATTCTGTACTTTTTTTATTTATCTATAAGCTTTAAAAGTAAACCAACTAAAAGTGAATTAAAGTTATCTAATCGAGAAGTGACCATAGAATTAACAAGCATAAAACTTTCAAAGATTGCGCCAATAATACGAGCAGAATAAGATGGAAATATATCACAATTACAACAGGAGGGTGGGAGTTATCATGTGCAAATTTATTTTATTAATGCCGTGAGTATAATAACAAATATTCGGTTTTATCATCATTCAATTTTAGAAAGTTCTTTGACATCCATTTCACTAATACAGTTGTAATTTTGATAAATTGAAAGAAGATGGATAATTAGGTGTAAATGGAATATATAACTGAGAATCATTGGCATACACATGAAAGCTGGGACCATATTTTCTGGCAATATCATCTAATGGTGACGTATAAAGGGTAAATAAAATCGGACCAAGAACATAACCTTGAGGAACCCCAGGTGACAAAACAGAGTTGAGACAAAATAAACAGCCCAATAGAGTGTTGGCGGAGACTGAGCACATAGCCCATACTATTGTGTTTCATAAAGATGAAAATTTTTAATTAAATATCACGGTGAAGGACACTAGTGTTCCTGGCCGAAAGATTATTAGCGAGCTGTCGGTGAAAAATACTGGCCTAAGTGGCACGCTGTATTTGTTTATAGTCAAATCCAGTGTTTTTTAAAATACACAGTCTATTATTAGTGTCATAATTAAATCCATTACACCCACTGTCCTTCAAACATTGGCTAGCACAATAGACGCGACTTCTCTTTATTAACAAACTTCCTTGTTTATTTACTACTGTCGATTGGTGTTTAAAATATCCTTCCACAACTGAAAAAAAAAATATATCAAAAAATGTTAAAAAATTAAAAACAATCGTACTCAGGAAAGGAGAATTGAGTGAAACCAAATAAAAAGTTGTATTTTTTTGCATTTATTAAATATGCCTTATTCAAGAGCTAAATCTGTCCAATGTAGATCTTTAGTTTGGCCTCAAATGTTATATAAATCATTAAAGGGGTATTAGGTAAGATGAGACAAAGAGCTATAATAGTTAGACAATAAATAATTTTTAAAAAATATGCTGATATTTGCAGTCAAATTGTTTCATTCAGAACGGAGATATTAGCGATTCAATTTAAGGATAGGTTCGATCCTTATTACTAACGTTGGTACGATAATAAACAAAGTCTTGATTATTTATTCATCCGTTAAATCATCCATCACAAAACGTATTCAAATCCACTAAATATCGGTGGCTAACGATGACATCGAGAGTTGATAATGGTCTTGACAAGTTAATTATTGTCTAATTAATAATTTAGATAACATTTAAGGCTTTAAGAAAGACCCGCTGTAGGCAGATTTAGTTTTTGCATAATGCATGTTTAATTAGACATTTATTTACGTGACAGGTCCATAATCAACTTTCTAGAACTTTGGATGGTTTTGATTTTTAAGAGATTTAAATACAATTGGCAGTTAATGATTTAATTCAAAAATAGATATTCTAGATACTGTTTATTACCGTAACAACGGCGGTAATAACAATCGATGCTACACTGTTCTGCAAACGACGATAACTCCACTAAGAATGGACTAATTTGACTGACATTTTCAATATATTCCCTTATCTATTTTTAATTATTATAGGGAGAATTGCCAGCTCTTTCTCTAATCTTACCTAAAGCATCCTTAATTACTCCTTTGGGATATTCCCACAATAATTGACCATATTGTGTATGGAGTGGATGTGGTTGCGTAAGTGACACAGATTTACAACCAGTCTCTTCCCGTATTATATTGTTTATTTAAACGGCCTGTATCTTTTGTCTTATGTAGTTTTATTTGTCTGTAACAATCTTATTTTAAATATTATTTTTTGTAAAGCGCGTTGAAAATGTGCCATGCTTTTTACTGTTTAAATTTTTATGTTTTTGTTTTTTTACTGTGTAAATTATGTTTAGAATGCGCTATATAGAATGTATTATTATTATTATTATTATTATCTATATAATTCATCACATCCATAATATAATCTGAAACTAAAGCACTAAACTAGACTGAGCCCAACCAATATAATTAGTATATTTTCGCTTTTGTAGATTATTATTTTGGATAAGCAATATTAAAAATTAATAACCCAGGAAGTTTTCTATTCTTTAAAATAAAGCCATGAAATATTGTCTTTGTAGTGTAGTTTCATTTACAACCTCATTCACTGTAAAGCCACCGTATAGTAGAAATACATATCCAGAAATAATTACAGGATAATACGAAAGTATACACAGAGAGGCTCCTGATAAATTTATGACATCCTAACAGCCTAAAAGGCAATCGTAAAAAGTGTAAATTAAACTAAAATGGATTTAAAAACAAATCTACGATGGAAATTTTTAATATTGGGCTTATACTAATACGACAATTATACGACAATTCTTTATCAACTAAGGCTGCCTCATAAACGTGCTTGTTGCAATCTGTAAGGGTGTCGCGTTGGTTTAGTGGGGAAGGTCTTGGCTCACTAAGCTGGAGGTCACGCGTTTGATCCCTGCGTTTGCGAAGAAATTTCATCGTGATTTTCTAGCGTGGTCCCCCCTTATCAATGGTACAGGACAGATGGCACGACAAATCAAGACCCTGTGTACCCAATGGCGTGCACGTGAAAGATCTTATGGCAGTTGAGTAGGCCGTAGGGCCGCAACTTGGGAAACGATTTCTCATAGCACTGCATCACGTATCGCTGTTTTCATATACGGATCGAAGCAGAACAGTAGGGAGAGATGGAGAAATGTGGTTTAAGGTCCAGTCGACACAATTTCAATAATTCCCTTGTGCGTAGGGGTCTTTAGCAGTGGGAGGAAACCGGAGGACGAGGAGAAAACCCACGTGGTTGGACAGGCGATCCTACTCCTTGTCACGTACAACCGGGGAATCGAAACCATGCCAGTTGACTCAATGACAGACCTTATGATACAGCTCACACGCGCTAACCATTCTTCCAATCCCTCCACACACACGAGGACGGTAGGACGTTGAGCCTATTTCATTTCATTTCAGGACACTTATACAAAGGCGCGTGTGTAACTCTATTTACACATGGTGCTAATATGCACGTGTGTAAACACCCATTTACACTACCTACTAACTTGATATAAATTTATTCCTACTACAAATATGGACACGAATACAGAGTTGAAATCTTTTATGTATCCACCCCAGTGGCGAAGTCCTTGACACGTCATCTCAGACTGAGAGTAGGTCAGTCCAAATATTCAAAGGTTCATTTACCGACTTCAGATCCCAACACAATAATATACTCTTATTTCTGGAATGAATTGCTCGACTGAACAATATCACAGACTTACAAATATTCTCTGGCAATTTTAAATAAGCAGGGTTATAATGCTTGCGACTTGTCGTTCACCACAGCAGTGCTGCACCCCATGATTTCTTTCAAAGCGTTGGACGTGTTTAAACTTTTACCTGTGCCAATTATTACTGGCTGTTCGGTTGTTGTTTCGGTGACAACTGTTGTCATGGAAGCTGTCGGGGTACCAGTTGTTGTTTCAGACAGTTCTGTCGTGGACATTGACTCGGTCATGACACCTGTAGTAGTCGGCGTTGTTTCAGGTTGAGCAGTAGCTGTAAGATGAAGAAAATAGAATTTAATGAGGTAATATAGGAAAACTACGATACAATGCTATTGACAATACAAGTACATATCTTTTGAAATTAAAGAGCTAGACCTGGAAGCAAAACGATTGCATATTTGATCCGCATTCTGGCTGCGTTGGTTATAAATCCCTACCTCATTGAATGAGAAATTGTATCCCTTGTCGAGTCTATGTAGATGTAATTGGGTATCAGTAACACAATTCGGGGTAAGCATCTGTAGTAAAATTATGACTGTTGCAAAGAGAATTGACGTTTCAAGATAAATAATATATTTAACGTAATTTAACGTAAAAATGGATAATCGAGACTATGTTCATTATAGAACCAACTTTAGTAATGATGATCCAGGCTAGCCTAATTTGAGTCAAAAAAATTTCGTTCCAATAGCGATCTTCAGCGACGGCCCAATTTACCGATGCGAGTATCGATGTTTGCTCCCGATGCATCCACGGGGTCTGTCATGAAAATTTCCTTGGGTGTCTGTTGAATACAGATTCTACTGTAATCATTTGAGATTTGATAGGAGGATCAAAATAGATACACTCAGTCAAAAACTCAAGATTTCTCTCTCAGTACAGCAATGGCTAGAGAGGGATTGCTCTGCCCATTGCTTCAGGAATATGGTAAGAGGTTCGCAGCAACACTTCTGGATCAATCCACTAATGTATATACAGAAAGAAAGAGATTTAGTTATGGTGGTATTCACCGCAGATTTTTTTCAAATGGACGTTTCTCGTGCCATATGTGTTATTTTGGCAAAAAAAGAAATCTTAGAGCAAGAATTTTAATTTCATATTTTCTAAGCAAGTCAAAACATAATTATATCTATGTCTTTAGCTCAATAGGTGTCAACTCACTATTATACGATCATAGGTATCATTCTCACACTTAAAATCATTGACCCCGGAAATAATAACACAATTACTTCCCTTGTTATTCTACCCCCCCCCCCATGGAATAGCTATCTTCAAACGTTTGAGGGAAAATGCTTTATTTGACGTGTCTACATTTTACATTTCTCTCATTAGATTTTACATTTGCTCTCTGCCACATCCCATTTGTCCTTCACGCTTTCTACATAGCATGTTTCGCACAGCATCAACTTGCATATGCAAATGTAGGATATCACGGGACTTATTAACATATACGGAAACCTGGCACACTATAAGCCAGAACAAGGATGGCACTTTATGATGATTACGGGGGGGGGGGGGGCTGTGCAATGTCCAAATACGAAATTTCAGGTATCATGTTACATATTAGTGAAAAGCACATTCATTTCTGTTTGTAAATATGTAAATAGTTTTATGGTACAATCGTATTTTCTTAATTTAAATCCAATAAATACCACACTATTAAAGGGATATTCAAGTAAAAATACTGGTCTAAATACAAAATTCCAGATACCATGTTAAGTATCACTGATTGCTCTTTTCAAATATGCAAATAATTTTCTGGCACATTCATATTTGCTTAACTTTACAAAATAAGATTAAGTTGAAGTGAAGGAAGGGGGGGGGGCTAAACTAAACTAAACTAAAATAAAGATACAGGGCTTAATCAAAAATTCTATATGTTCATACTAAAAGATGTATAGTCATTCCTCTCTTTAAATATATTATTTATTTGTTGGGCACAATGCTTATATATTGTTGGGGTTTTGTAATGGATCAAAGTAAGCTACTTAACTCTGGTTATAGAGAGATCGGAAAGAGTGGGGGTGTTAAAAATACGGGTATTAATACGAAATTCCAGTTATTGTGTTATAAATTACGGGAAAGTATGTTTTTTTGGCTGTTTGAATCTATCAATTATTTCCTGGCACATTAAAAATTACGCACGGTCGTCTAGATACTTTCTTATGGTGTGCCAGCTTGATTTCTTTTGTCGTGAGGTGAATATCCTTATTATAGTGTGCTTGTGCCGGGTTTCCATATATGTTAATAAGTCACGTGATATCCTACATTTGCATATGCAAGTTGATGCTGGGCGAAAGTTGCCAAGTAGAAAGCGTGAAGGACAAATGGGATGTGGCAGAGCGCAAATGTAAAATGTAATGAGAGAAATGTAAAATGTAGACACGTCAAAAAAAGCATTTTCCCACAAAACATTTGTCATTTAACACTTAACATTTGACGTTTTACGTTTAACTCTTGCCTTAGAGGTGTTTTGACTTTATCATTATCGGTATTAGGGCTTTGTACATTGTACTTAATATAATCAATGGAAACGACATTGTAGCAGAGCATTTAATATTGGCAGCGATACCCTTCCATAGATAATAAATGGCAAGAAGGATGTTTTTGCTTTATGGTAAAAGGGGCATGTAGGGTTAGCGCATGTCTAAAGCATCGTAAATATGAATGGACTGCGATGGCGGTGTATGTCGGATAAATACAACGCTTCATTAATTTAAACGCGAATATTTGGAGTTAAGCGATAGTTGTGCCACTACATTGGCCTCTGTAAGTTTAATTAGTCATAATTGTATAAAATTATCTTACAAATATATTTTTAAGGTGTTACATGCATTAATAAAGAAATTGAGCTTGCCACTTGGAACTAAAGGCACCCAATCGTAGCTAAAAACAAGCACGTCAGTATATCTCAACGTTTTTAGTTACGTTCTGGTAGCTAGGTTTGGATAAGTTAATTAATGTCTAATTAATAGTTTATATAACATTTCAGGCCTAAAGAAAGACCCGCAATAGGCAGATTTAGCTTTAGCGTAATGTATGTTTAAATTGTGATGATATGAAAGCTAGCTATGTCAGCCCGGCTACTAATTACTGCATACCAATCTGTTTCGCAGTCATAATTCTAAGACCTTCTTTTAACTCTGTAGTAGATGTTCTCGAGCAGTATGTACGTCTGACGTCAGATCATACAGCCTCGATATCACGTGCGTTGTTTACATCGAACCTGTAAAATAAACTGGCCCGGGCTGAATTAATGTCTTTTACTAAGCCGTCGCGAACTATTCTATTGTTTTAGAATTTAATTTGTAAAAGTACATGCACGTTTGACGTCAGATCATACCGCCTCGATAGCACGTGCGTTGTTTACATCGGATGTGTAACACAGTCTACAGAATTGGTGACTATTACTTATTTTACGCCTTCGCGTACTATTCTATGTATTTATGTACACTAAATAGTTTTCATCCACATTTATTTGTTTTCGTAATAATTTAAAAAAAAATGTTTTAGAGGTTTCAGTGATAGTCGCGACCAAACGAACATTACTGCTGATCAGTTTGACTGCATACATAAGAATCCCGGTGGTCTGATCCCTTCAAATTTATTCAAAAGTTATGCCCCTTCCCATCGGCTATCGAGCACGCGTGAACGTTCGATTTTGTCACAAACACGATAATGATGATTATTAACTAAAATAATATATTAGGAACGAGGGTGATTTAAAAAAAACGAAACACGGTAGTAATGGATGGCGATAATCGGCAGTCGTATGAAGACAATCGGCGATCAACGGTGAAAAGGCACTGCTTTGGTTTGATTCTGCTGATATGAAAGATGTAGCTCCCGTGCTACAAGCCACTAAATTGTACACAGATGAGAGTAAAAGATTGTATAATATGAATATTTATTTCACGAAGCATTACAAAATGCTTGCCCGCACATATTACTTGTTGAACATCACCTGGTCGTGTTCTCGACCGACATAACATCGGACTAAAAACCAATTAATTTGTTATGTCCGTCTTCATTTGCCCGGCTGCCGCAGAAAAGATAGAACGTAACGTAAACCCCATTTCAATTCATTTCAATATGCAATGTTTTCTGGTCATGGCGGAATTTACATACTGTCTTTACACACTGAATGAACAACAAACTCTACTAAAGAAAGGTATGAAAATGACAATGTACACATGTAATACCAATTTTCCTTTGAACTGGTGCATTTATTAAAAATAAGAAACATAACATACATGTAGCTTTACATGTGATCACTTTTACAAGGCCAATTTATACTTTGCGCATACCTAAATGCGGACATTGACCACTGCGACTTTCGGCGCGAATTATCGTCCGTACTGATAGGCGCAGAAATTCGAAATTGACACTATGACGATTTTCTTTAAGTGGCTTCTTCTATGACGATTATACACTTTGACCTCGCGCTCAGTATAAACAGCCCTTAACAACGAAAATTACAAATGTAACAATTTAATACCAATTTTCAATCATGGAGCCTTAAGTGACTTGGATTGTTATTAGGTATACATTCAGTTTAATATAAATTCTAAAACGTTAAGACATATCAATAATGAGGGACGTGTAAATATTAATAAAATTATATTAATATTGACCCTTCCCTCATTATCACAAGGGGGTTGGCCGAATGGTTAGCGCGTGTGCGTTGTACCATAAGGTCTGTCCATGAGTCAGCTGGTGTACGTGGTTTCGATTCCCCGGCCAGGTCCTCCGGTTTGCTCCCACTGCTAGGGACCCCCTACGCGCGGGCGAGTTATTGAAATAAAATTGATGTCAGTCCCAAAATGACCTGGTTTGTGTCAAGTGGATGTTAAACTTGTTAAACTCTCTCAAGCAAAACAAGTGCCCGAAATCTAATAAAACACTTTTACGTTTCTTTGATTGAATACCGCGAATTTGTACCAATTTGAAACAGGCACTTACGTGGATTATAATAAAACTCCTTACTATTGCTTGACTATATACTACAGTAATAACAATGTGTATCAGCCGCCTTATATGGTTTTGACTTGTTGACGACATTTCGTCTGCTATCATTTCACAATACTCACTAGTTCTAACACCTCCCGTGAAGCAATAGTAAGAATTATTATTTTAGTCCCTTCAAGTGCCTATGTAAATTGACTATATTGGACCACATTGGAATTGCTGTATTCGCCGCCTGTAACATGAAGTTTTTCGGACATTTCAGGTCTCCCCCACCACATCCCCACCCAACACTGCCAACATCCATCGGGCCCGTACGCCTATGATTATTCGTGTGGAATGTGGTATCTTCAATAGGTAGACTGTAAATTCAAGCACTACGTGTTCATTTAAACAAATACTTCGTCTGATGTTGTTGCCCAGGTTTAAGGTTAATTAAATCAATACGTCATGCAGTACAGACGCCCATACTGAAACAAAGGATATTTTGAATTGCCTTGAATTTAATTTCCTAATGGTGGTACTATTATACAGGAAATATCGTTCGTATCGATAATTTACAGTAACAATGGAGATCTAAAATAACTTTGGCATTATATAGAAGACGGAGATGACAAGCACGCAAATGAATCTACCAATTGTTCTCACAAACATTAGCTGCAATGTACCTAATTGATTCTTAAATATATATAAGCGATAAACAAAACAAAGACAATCAATTAAAAAAAAATCTGTTCATAGAAAACAGAATGTTGATTTCCCACTAAACCATTTCGAACAAAAGGGATTTATGAACATAATTAGAAGTACGAAACATAAATCCCTTTTGTTCGAAATTGTTTAGTGGGAAATCGACATTCTGTTTTCTATGAACAGGTTGTTTTTTTACGTTAATCGTATTTTGTTTGTTAATCGCTTATATTAACTACGTTAATACTCCTATTCATTGTCTGTCTTAATTGCATCTTCATGTAAAATTTTATCTTAGTGAAGAACAAAAATGTCTTCGCATGACAGTTAATTTTAATGATTTGAAAATTTTCTATAATGCACAGAATACAATGTTTTCTTTTTTATTATTGACTATAAATTTGCTAGAGATATACTGCGATGAACGGCCAGGTTTCAGTTAATTGCTATAAGAGGTTTTATGCGATATTTAGAGAAAAGACTGGCCTAGTTCAAAAAAAGATAATGAAAAAGATATTGAAAATTTCAGTCAAAGTTATTTTACTCGAACGAAGTTATGATGGCTACTTGGTTTAGACAGCGGAGGTAATCAAATTTGTATTACTTTTAATCCAAGTAAGACTTTTAATACATAGAATAGAAAACTGTACATGTTACTATATTGTCTAGTTCCTTATTTAGGAAATGTCTCCGATCGGACGATATCAATTGTTATCCCTTATAGCGCCAATATGAAAATACGGTTAAATACCGCTCTTCCCCACCTCTGTTCTCAGGCTATTATAGGACCCTTACCTTCTATTTTTCACCGTGATTCTTTATTTTTCGCAAAAGGAATCATTTCTCAACATATCTGACACATATTTATAAATATTCAACACTATTTTGAAGTAGAATTTAGCGGCTAAATAAACATGCGGTCTGCGCATGTTGGAGTGTCGTAATGGCTGATCAGTTCAAACGTATTTTGTGTATGTTTTTAATTGTGTTGAATTATGATAAATGTGTGTCAGCCGTGGCAAGAAATGATTCCTTTGGCAAACAAATGTAAACCACGGTGATGAATAGTCGATAAGGATTCCAAAATAGGCTTAGATCAGAGGTGGGGATGAGCGGTATTTTCATATTGCAGCTATATAGGAAGGAATAGGAACTGTCAAGGAACTGTCTATTGTCATGCTCCGTGAGTGGCGCCATGCATTTTCGGCATGGTCGGTCATTTAAAAATACATTATGTAAGATTTAGATAAAGAACTAGCCATTCTTGCTATAATAGTTCGAAAGTAAAGGATGTAAAATGAATAATTTGAAAATTTCATTCAAATTACTCTATTGCAAGCGAAGATATTAGCCTTTGAATGTTTGACAGACGTGTGCAATAATTTCAACCACCGTACTGGTTGATCGAAGCCAAGTCTCGGTCCTCCATATTTGATTAAATCAAAGTATCGCTGAACCATTCTAATCTATTTAATATCGGAGAAATCTGATGCCATCGAGAGTTGATTAAGGCCTGGATCAGTTAATTAATGTCTAATTAATACTTTAGAAAACATTTCAGGCCTAAAGAAAGACCTGCAATAGGCAGATTTAGCTCTTGCATAATGTATGTTTAAGGTACTGTCTAAGCTACACAATATTTAAGCCATCAGATGGCATACAGTGTTGATTATGTGCCTATCATGTGAAAATAATAATAATGTATACAAAGTAATTTCGTATGGGTTTAACGTTGTCTTAAATAGGGTCAGATTAAGACCTTTGGTGGTTCCAATTATAATAAATTATGCTGCCCTGTGAAGCAAAATTTACGTGTATGCTGAAATTAAAGAAAGCTTTTATCTAGATTTTCTGATCGCAAAATCCGAGTTGTATTTTCATAAGGGAGTAAAGCTAGTACAAGGAGTCACATCTGGTAGAATAAACTAAAGATTTTCTAGGAAAATAAACAAAAATTTCCAGCTTTTCAAAAGATCCCAAGAAATAAAAAACGAAGTCATTGGGTATGCCAGTTCTTAAATTTAACGGGCATACTATATGGCGTAATACATCACTCGTTCATAAAATATAATTTCATAATTCAACATAATATACTTACTTAAATCACATGTAGTTTCTTTAGTTAAGTATGCAAAACTTTGATGATTGCTCCAGCTGCTAGGCTGTACATGAAACAAATAACATTGTCCGTTATCCCAGGTTATTGATAAGCACGACGATGTTACTGAACATACGGAACCACACTCTTTTATTGAATTTAGTCCAATAAGTGGTGTTCCACCATTGCCTTTTATATAGGGGCATCTTGTCAGACTTGTATAATCTATTTCAAAACATTAAAAATAATGTAAAATATTAAGATAGTCAACTGCAGCATATCCAAAAGGAAAAATTAGATGTTGAGCTAATTTGAACTAGGAACCTCGAAGAAATCTAATCTCTACGGTTCCTCCTTTTATGGGCCCATTGCTTCCAGCCAATTTGAAAGTCATGGTACACTGAAAATGGATAGGGTTTGTACTCTCATGTCCACGGTGCTTCACACCAAATCCGTCAAATAACTGCAGCCTCTATCGCGTCCACATGGTTTTCGACAGAAGGGGGGGGGGGCAACTCTGAAAAGGAAAGTCGCAGAACGCTGAATATCGATAGCGGTCTTCCCCTCGTCCCCCTAATGCTTCAATCACACCAAATTTAAACAAAACATTTTGGGGGGGGGGGGGGGGTTTGCTCCAGAACGGAAAGTTATGAAAATCTGAAAATCAATACGATATATTCTCTCGAGACCCAAACGCGTACAACCAACATTGAAAAAATTTCGTTAAAAAAATATAGCCTCTATCGTTTTCACAAGTTTTTCAGTAAAGTGGGGATAACAGAATTTCATAGAACGCCGAATATCGATAGGGTTTGTCCTGTCATGACCACAGTGCTTCACACAACATTTGAAAAGAACCCGTCGAAAACTGTAGGTTTTTTGTAACTCCAGACAGGAAAGTCGCAGAAACCTGGTACGAACGGTCGCAGAACGTTGGATATCTATACACCACAATGCTTCATTGAAAACAATCCGTTAAAAACTAAAGCCTCTATCGCTTTCACAAGCCAATCTGTTAAAAACTGTAGCTTATATAGTGTTCATAAGGTTTCCGGCAAAAGGGGGATAATGTCGGAACGGAAAGTCGTGGAAAGCTGACTGAAATTCGATAGGATTCATCCACTCATGACCGCAACGTTTCTAACAAAATTTGAAAAAAAAAATGTAGTTTCCATCGCGGTCCAGAACGGAAAATAGCAGAACGCCTACAATTGATAATGTTTCCCTCTCATGACCATAATGCTTCAAACCAAATTGGAAAAGAAACAGTCAAAGACGGACCGACGGAAAGGGTGGAGAGATAATACGCCCATACTGAAATGCGGGCGAACAAAATGATAACGGAAAGGAGTCCACTAAAGAACTTAATTATTTAAATTTGGACAAATAAAGAATACAATTAATTGACTGTAAAGAAGAGCATTAGAAGAAACTGCCAAGGTTGAGAAATGGCAATGATACAGTTATAATGTCATATTATATAAAAATATTGAACTTTAAAAATGCATATTCCCGGGAATTAGACAAATGAGTGATTACGAATTTTTTTCTCGTCATACAGTACATGCCATACAGGCCCGGAATGGAGTTTCTGGAAAGACGTTAAACTACATTGCATTTTATTTCATTAATTCGCAACAAATCAAAGTTAAAGGTAATATTATACAGCAAGTTTTTACCATACCCATTCCAGTACATTGAGTCCTTTTAGAAAAGTATATACAATCGTTGCAGGTATAGGTACTGGAATTACCATTTTCCTTGTAGCATATGCCGGTTGAATGCTTAAATGTAACACCATCACATACATTAAATACACAAAACTCCAAACATTCGAATAATGTCGAGATCCCCGTTTGCATTTGATCTGTATACGTTCTGGTTTTGTTGTGTAAGTCAAAGCAGTTGGCACCTGGAGAAAGAAAATAATACAAACATAACTATAAGCATTATTTTTATTTTATTATTTATTTTGTATAAATATAAATACGTGTTTGTGTCTTCTATCATCGCAGATCTATTTCTGTATTACCCAACTTATGTGTTATTATAGTAAAGCTGAATGTCGCGCACGGGGGAGGTTATGCTTAATTTTTGCGAAAAACCTGGTACTGATGTGGCTTCAAAATATACATATTTTTTAAAATGTTGACTTAAATAATTAAAACAAAAAGTTCATACCTGTATTATGGATACAGCTAATCCATGTTAATATGACAATGGTGAAATCCAGTCTTGTTTTCATTGTTGATTTCTGTCCAAAAAGTGTGTATATAATAATATCTTACTAGTATATTATATTATATATAACACCTTCAAATCAATACCCGGATACGAAAAGTCTGTAGTATGCGATTGCTGCCAAGGAGTCCCATAATTGTATAGCCAGAGTAGAATTGCGTCTACCACTACCATCGCTCGAAAGGAAAAGAAAGAGACATAACAGCAGCTTTATATCTGAAAGGATTCCTTATGCTATCAAACAGTTAGATCGCTTTCGTTATCAGAAGCTTTTACGGACACACACTTTTTATTATTATTATTTATATAACAGTAGCAGGCCTCAAAGTACGTGTGACAATGTACAACAAATATTTATAGAAATAAGTAAATCATAAATATATAAACTACAATATATCGCTACCCAAATAACCGGTTTCTGTATAGGAACCGTGTGTGATTCAGTAGCATTCCATACTTATTTACGAGAACACGAGAAAAATAGAAATAGTCCTTGTTTTTATTCATTCTATACTTAATAAAAACATGGTAATGTGCGGACTTTCTATATTTTTTCGTTTCCTCTTTTCCAGTGACAGTCAATTTCTGTTTTGAAATGTCAGATATCCTCTTACAGTTTCACACAAACACTTTTGGTCTTCGAAGGAATTATTATTGAGCAGAAATTCCCCGTGTATCTTTTATCACTCGTCACTTCAGTGGGTAAAGTGAAAACAAAAATTATTATTTCGTCTCGTTGGCAAAATAAAATTCACGAAATTTAATAAAACACTAATTTTCTTTTTCTTTTAACTGAATACCACGAATTTGTATTGAATTTACTATGGATTAAAGCATTTTGTCTGGAGCCACTCTACTTTGTGCGACATTTTTCGGGCATCGATTATTATTTGTGAATGCAGCTGCAACAGTCTGATTGGATGGTTGGAATTTAGCTCGGCATAGAGTGGGATTTCGGTTGCAATCCGATTGGAAACTTTGAAGTTGCTTAATTCACGGAATGGAATTGCAGAAAAAACGCATTTACGGCGGTTAAATTTTCAAAATTTTCTCGTGGAACGCGAGTCCCCATACCCCGCGACGATTGATTGTTTGTTTGGGATGCGGATAAGTCACAAGGTAGGCTTTATTGGAACACGTTGAAGTTGTTGTATTCACGGACTGGAATAGCAAGAAAACGAGGTTGCGACAGTTAAAATTTTCAAACATTCATCGAGCTCGTACGCCTATGTATTTTATGTATAAATTTATCTGATATTTCTAGATTTATCTTGGCAAGAGGACACCGGTGAAATGTGAAACACCTTCCATAAAAGGCTTCTGGTTATTAGTAAATTTAAAAGTTACGTCATAATCCGAATGTATAAATAATGAATTTATTTATCGTTGATGTTATACATACGTATATAATTTCACACACCGTATTATTATTGGCATACGTATTCAACAAGGAAGCTATAACTCGAATATCTATTTTATTTTTACACATGTGACGGCGTTAAGGAGCATACAAGATCTGACTATTCATTTTAACCGTGCAAACCAGTGAGGTGTTACAATAGTTACACAGAAATAGAAGATGTTAATACAACCGTCTTAAAGGACAATGTTGGTGCCAGTCATTATCATGTGATATAGCTGGTTAAACACATTCCAAATATAATTGTAACACAGATCATTGCTACGATAACTGAGTAATACAGGTTTCTTGAATCGGAAGTGACGAACGCCAAAGGAAAACACGAGTCATCCCTCTATATAACTGACTGATGTGACGAGTGATAACAGATACACGGCCGAATTTCTGCTCACTAATAATTCCCTCGAAGACCAAAAGATGTTGTGTGAGACTGTGAGAGGATATCTGACAACTCATAAAAAGAATTGACTGCCACTAGATAAGAGAACACTAAAGAAAAACAGAAAAAAATCCGTGCATTACCATGTTTTTATAAGATATAGAATGAATATAAACAAGGGAATGTACGGACTATTTCTATTTTTCTCGTGTTCTCTTATCTAATGACATTCGATTATCCTCTTACAGTCCCATATAACAACTTTTGGTCTTCGAAAGAATTATTAGTGAGCAGAAATTCGGCCGTGTATCTGTTATCTCTGTGTTAAAATTATATTTGGAATGTGTTTAACCAGCTCTATCACATGTGATAATGACTGGCACCAATATTGTCCTTTAACGCTAGGTTTCCACTATCGTCAAACATTTCAAATTTTCTGTGTGCGTGGGTGTGTGTGTGTGTTTGGGTGTGGGTGTGTGTGTGTTCGGGTTGGGTGGTCTCATACGTCATTCGAATCCGAAATTTTGGGGGGGCATTTCAGGTTCTGCCCAGTTTATATACATTCATATTACGTTATTATATGCGTTGCGACCCATTTGTTTCAATTTCTAGGTCCCAAATATTAGCGATTTAGGTCCTTTAACTTGATCAATAAGTTGTGTTTGCAATGTCGAAGATTGTGGATGATACGGAGTTCAGAACTTGTCCCATTTCGAGCGTGCGTAACGTTTAAAAAACATTTATGTTCTATTTAACAAGTAGAACAATGCAGTTTTCCAGGGGGTCTGTAATTCATTATATTAAAAGTACACAACATGCGAAGTTAAATCAAGTTGAAGTATTGAAGTCTATAGTGAGGTTAAAATTGGATTTGGTATCAAGTTTACACTTAAATGCACCAATCAGATTTCAAAACAAAATTGCATTAACATTGCCTAATGTGTGAAGGAAAATCACGGTTTCCTGGGTTCGATTCTGGTGTCTTCCAGCCTAGTTTCCCATTTTCTGGGGTTCATAATAGAGCACCCTCCCCACACCACCCCCAAGCCGCGCATTTTTCGCCTCATAGCACACTGTACACATTATATCCATCTTGTTTACGCCTGTAGACCTAGATGCAGAGCTTGTAGGACATTAAACCCGATTTCATTTACGTTTTCAGTTCAGCTGGCTTCTTTGATCTGGAAATTATGTCATAATGCACCAAATCGACCTGCCCCCACCTCACGCCCAAAATCAACAAAAAATCAAACACTCTCGCGATCAGTGCCAAATTTTATTTTAGCCCTACTCAACAATCATTTTTAACCTAAATCAAAGTGGCTTAACTCATTTAATGTGACAATATCCATTCAATATAAATACCTGTATCCTACGTGATGAATTTCGTTGTCCCCGCGGTACATTTTAAATTTTAAAAACAACATTTAATGCATTCTTTGTAGAACAGACTTCCAAAGAGATATATATATATGATGATAAATCAATCAATTTCTACCTTTGTTTATTATTGCGTGACAACTACGTCTATTCTTTCTCAGGAGACATAACCTTACAAGGTCAAGGGAAATGAAATTTGTTTTAACAATCAGTCTACACAACTCGATAATGACATTTTTGTTTTCCGCCCAAAATTAATATTCAAATAAAACAACAATGACAGAGGTAATGCGAAATCCTTCTTTAATGTTATGTGTAACATAGGTCTACGTGTGATGTCACATCACACGACGTCGATAGCACGTGCATTGTTTACATTACGCAATAACACAAACTGGTCCGGACCCTTCCCCATTTTACGTCTTCGCGTACTTTTTTATGTACTCGTTTATCCATAATTTAAAAACATGTTTAAGAATTTGGAAAGTTAAAGATACATTATGGGAGATAAGATAAAGAGATGGCAGTTCTCGCTATAATAGTTAAAAACTAGATAGTGTAAAGGTAATTTGCAGAAAATTTCAGTCAAATTGATCCACTATGAGCCGAGAAAGAAGCGGGTGAAATTTTTGCATAGTCTCGGTCATCATTACTAAAATCATTAATATAAACAGCATAGTCTCGATTATCCACTTTTATCGATTTAATTATCAATAGCCGTTAGCGGCATATAGGAATCTAATCCAGCCAACATCGAAGGCTAGCCTTGACATCGAGAGTTTATTATGGTCTGGATAAGTTAATTAATGTCTAATTGATAGTTTAGATAACATTTCAGGCCTAAAGAAAGACTTGTAATAAGTAGATTTTGCTCTTGCATAATGCATGTTTAATATTGAGAGTTACTTAACTCACCCGATGTCAACCGTTTCAGTGATAGTAGCGGCCAAGCGAATATTTACTCCTGATCAGTTTGGAATCTTGTATTATGTCATGTATCTTTCAGATTGGTTAAGTAAAATGGCGCCTTGATATATTTTGTTTTTAAATCCTCAAAAAATCCCTTTGAATGCCAGATTGATACGATTGTGGTGTCTCCGTACGTATGGAATTCAAAATAAAAAATTGAAAACCAGTAAAATAAATTAGTGTCTTTGGAAAACAAAACAAACATACACATTAGTTGTAAATTAATTATCTGTCTTCTGGATTTTTCGCGGAACCTGTTCCGCTGTATCCTTTGCATCGTGGTAAAACCGACAGTGGAAAAAATTCTGTGATGCCCTCCTTCCACTAATGCACTGAGAATATGCTTATTATGCCTAATGGTTATTCAAGGATTGATTTTATTCTGACTGTTATCTTTATTCAAAATAGTCTATAAGATAATTTGCATATCCATTTATATATACTATTCAGTATAGCATAGAATCTTTTCATTAAACTGTCGCTTTACTTATTGTCTGAAGCGTACCA